TGTGCACAAGTGTGTAGGCGACGCATGTGTGCGATTGTATGTGTGTAGTTGTGTGTGTGGCTGTGTGTGTGGTTGTGTGTGCTTGTGGTTATGAACCGAAAATCCATTTACACTTGAATACATTTTGGCCATGATGAAGTGGACAAAAGCGATCCAACTTTGGTGTTAGCCATAAACAAACAAACAACATTTCGGACACAGATACAGAGTAAAAGAAAAAGAGACGGAGTGAATTCATCTTTAAATTATGAATGTAACTAACTAAAAGCAAAACGATTGAGGTAGCCGAAGAAAATGCTGATTAGCCAGGCAGCTGGCAAAAAGGTCGAGAAAGAGGTCATGACAATCGCTTTGATTCGGGAACAAGCTGTGGACAGAATTGAGTAACGAGCACTTTGTTGGATCAACTTTGCGGTTAAGTGTCGCGTTTGCTGTCAGCAACTTCTGCTTTCTAGACCAGTTCGGTCGGTCGGTTTCAATTATGCTTTGAGATACAAAAAGTACACTTATCTTAGGGCAAAAACTGAAAATAAAATAATGCACTGAGTGAGCTTTACCACTAAAAAAATATCCAATTTGGCTGATTACTCAAATTAATGTCACTTTTCTTTTGCTTAAATAAGAGCTCTCAAGATTTTTGCATATCAATATTATATCCTTCCGCAAATCAAGAACTTTTGTTGCTTCTTTTCATAGCAAACAAAAAGTTTTAGAGATTTGAAATTTGTATGCATGCCATGCAAATGCTAAAAGTAAAACTAAAAACTCCTCATATACGTGCTGTTGATGGTAATTAACTAACTATAGATATACAAAATAACATTAGTTAGAGTGCTCTAGTTCAGAGTACTCGACTATGACATATTATTTATCCGATATTGAGGAGTCTTTCTATAAAATTGCACATACCAGGGCTTTGTTTTGAAAACAACAATAATAATATTATTGTTCCACTTTTGCGTTGCAAACTTGAAAAGTTGTAGGTTCAGAGATTTGACTAAAAGCAGTGGCCACAAATGGATGTTGATAGCTGAACAAGGATAAAGTTCATTTAAAATTTTAAGTAATTACTCTCTTATACACTTTATGGTGTCCAACTGCCATTTCCAGCCAGCTACATACTTTTGCACAGCTTTTCCATATCAAATTTTAATGGGTGCGGTATATGAATTAAAATACATATATCTCTAAAATACCAATTGCATTTTCATGTTTAGAAAGTTTTCGGTTCGGTTGTTTGCTTGTGAGTTTTTGTACATTTCTTTTTCGGGTCAGCTGTCGACATACAGCAACAACAGATGCTGCCACAGCTGCAACCATAGCAGAACCTATCGTATATACAAGCTTGAAACTCTATACTAAACGTTGCCTTTTGTTGATGCTGCGTTACTTGAATGCCTGGCAAACATGAATAATACTCTATCACATGCGCTCATGCGATATAGCTGCCGGCGTTGTGGGAGGGGCTCTATACATAACTGAGGAATTGCCCTTCAGCGTCAGCTACAAATTGCAGCTGTGTGTGTACGTGTCAACTCATTGACCTCGTTACCCCTGCTTCAGTGGTTATTCCTACGCGGGGATCCTGACTGGCATGTTTATTTTTTCTTTTTTTTTTCAGTTTTTTGTCATCACCTTCCCTCAGCCCGTTTCCGGGCGGGCTATGCGTCTACCCTTACTATTGGGGCACGGGGGCAACAACTCTTGTAGCTCTTTTGAGCATTTGACGTGATTCTGCATCATTACCAGGTTCTGCCGACATTTAAATGTAGGAATCGGATAGCATCGACCTCAGTTCTTTTGACATGAGTGTAGGCAAACGTGGTCAGGTTTCTGATTTAACTGACAGCTTTGATTAGTTTTAGCAATTACTTTGCCATCAGACTTTTTTAGGCTGAGATTTGTGACATGTAAATGTATCGAGGGAAATTGGTTTAGAAACTTACTTGAACGGTATGAATCGATTTTTTGCTGATGTTCATTTTAGTCGCATCTCTATTACATGATATGTATACTCATTTTGTTACTTAACTTATGCTCAAACTGGTTCTCAGTAAAGTATTTGATAATGGATTAATATAGCTCAGTTACTTAATACCTCTGCCTTTTATTTGTATACCACTTTTAATACAGCATATTAGGTATTATAACAAATTTAAGCATTAAAGCGCGGTCATTAATCATTTTTATAATTTTCATAGAAAAGTGTTATCACATGCTTATTTCTCTATCTAATTACTTCATTGTAGCCATGTTATTTCAAAGCAACTGCAACACTTGATACAATTTGCTTACGCCTCGCTCAAGGCATACATCCACACATGCCCCAATTATCAATTCCTTGTATGATTTAATGAGCATTTAATGCATCAAATAAACGAGTTCACATCAAAGCAATATCTAAAGAACTCATGCATCTCAATTGAATGAACTGCAACAATTCAAACACATTGACCTATTGCAAAAGTCAATTAAATGCAAGCCCTAAAGCAATAAAAAGAATGCTAACTCGCATTCGGAAATTGTTTTATATGCATACCAATATTTGAGAGAGTGCAAACAATAAGAAACAAATGTTCCGAGTCAAAAGTCCAAATAAACAATTGCAAACCACACACCCACACACACAATGCCAATGGATACTCCTCATAAAGGTTGTTTTCTCGTAAAAGTTGGAGGCGTGTATTCCCTCTTGCTTCTGTGTGTGTGTGTGTGTGTGTGTGTGTGATATCGACAGTGAAACCGCAACATCAATCAACCCATGCGTCAAGCTGAACAAAAACAGCTGAAGTTGCGTCACGACGTATTGAATGCGTAGCGCTGATGGACCGTGGGGAGATGAGCAGATGGCTGCTTGTAGGATGCAGTCAGTCGGGCGGGCAGTTGTACTTCCCGCATCGCTGTTCACTTTATTGCCCTTTTCATTAGTATATGCGCATTGCTCAGGGGAGTAATTGCACTGTTAATCGATGACTATGAAAACTTCATTCGCTGCACGTGATCCGTTGAGTTCACGTTTCTTAGTAATTAGGTGTTGTTTGTGTTTAATAAATACAAGCTTTATAATTACAGCTGTCTTTAAAACAGCCTTAGCTTATTAGCTTAATACAACACGCCGTTGTGTTTAAATAGCAAGACAAGCTGTTGAATTCTTAACAACTATATGTGCTTAAGTAATTTTGAGTAAATAGCTTTCAATTGTGCCTTCGTTGCTGTTTGCCTGTTTGCATTTGAGACGCTCAATTAATTGCAATTGATTTGTGACGACAATGCGCGCAATTTCCATGTTGTTTATTCAGCAATATTTCTGGGTTAACATTGCAAAGCTCATCGGCGTCACACCAATGTCTATTTCCATTTCAATCGTCATCGTCATCGTCATCGTCATCGCCATCGCCATCGCCTTTGTCATTGTCAACAACATTTGCTTGTTTTTGTTGCGTTGTTTGGTTTGTTTGCACAGCGCTTGGCAGTCCATCTCCTCCTCTCTGCATGGGGGTCTGAGTGTCTTTGGGGGCGTGCCAATGCCATAATGCATAGTGACTGTTAACATCTAGCTGCATTAAGCCTGCAACAGAGTCTATCCTTCTTCTGTGCTCTTTGTATGTGTGTTTTATTGGTCACGAGCGGAAAAGTTATGTAAATTTACTGCAATGGCCACAAGGCAACATATACATTTTTTATTTATGCTTTAAATTTGCAAAACGGAATCTTTTTATTGGCATTCGGCGAGCAGGATAAACTGCAGCTGGTCCCCTGTCATCTATGCCATTTATTGTTATATATACACCATGGCAAATGGCATTAGCATATAGAAATACTATTTAAAAGTTGCTGTTACATTTACATAATACTCATTTGTTTATCTATCTATTTACTTGTTAGCACCAAAACATTTTAGACCACATTAAGGAGCTTAGGCAAAGGGGCCAAAGACATTGACGAGAGAGAGCCCCTAGAAGCGAGGGAATGTTAAACTGTTCTTTGCTCTGGTCTTTTGACACTTTTATAGTTTCGCTCAATTTCAATAAGTGCTTTTCAGCCCTCTCAGTGGCTGTGTGCGTGTCTATGGTTGATTGTAAAGGATGCTCGGCCTAGTGTTGAGCGTAGGTGGTGTGGATTTATTTGCCGTCAGCTTAGGTAATTTATAAAAAGAATTTAAATAACTTTTTGTAAGGGCAAGCAAAGCTAACAGTCCTTAAGGCGAGAATTCGAAATTGAAAATGAAAATGCAAAAATTCACATCAGTACATTTTCAATAATCATTAAACTGCTCCAACTAAGTTATGAGCTTCCAGCGCAATTATTGGCCTAAAATAAACTCTGTTCTTCAATTTTTTTCCATTATTTTTGTGAGCTTCGTTTCTTTATTTTTTCGGAACTGCGCATTTTTCATAGTCTACTTTTATGCGTTAAATATATAAAGTGATTGAAATATGTATTTACAACGCACAACGAAAAATTTAGGTGAAATTTTACGAATGCTTTTGCCATTTGCATAGTCATCATAGGCAGCTAACTAACGAGAGCAATGCGTTGAGAAATTAATGTGTATGAGACCCAGCGGATTTAATACTCTACCAAAGAGTCATATTGAATGACTGAAATGAATGTTTTAAAGTAACCACATTTAGGAAATATACATTAGGAAATATGATTTATCAAGGAATTTCTGTTCATTCTGACAATTTACTTCGACTAAGTTCCTGCCATTCATCATTCCTATATAGTATTACAATTTATACATTATTAATTAACCTTCGTAAGGGTATTTAAACTTCAGTCACACGTCGATGCTTGCCTTTTTTGGTCATTTCATACTCGTCATTATTCACGCTTGAGTTGATTTTAATGTTAACGTGAAAAAGATTTTGCCTTTCAAGTTATTATTTTTTTTTGTAAATTTTACTTTCTGCTTCGAAAAGTTGGATTATCGTTTTAACAACGCAGCCCATAATCCAATTAGTGTTTAATTGTTTTTTTTTTGTTACGCATTACAGAAATACAATATTAATACGGAAAAATGCGGAGATCTGACAGTTATAGTGCAGGTAAGAATATTAACTGAGCAAGCCAAATGTGTATAAGTGTCTACAACTATTTAATTGCAAACATTTTCAGGGTGATTTGTCGCAGCAGGAGAAACGGGCTGTATTTATTACCGTGCATGATTTAGGCTGCAATCGTATGTAGAATTCAAATAACGCAATATATTATACTAATTAGACATTACGCATACGCCGCATTGGCAGACAATTCATTTCAGGAATTTGTGAGCAGCCCATGCATGACGGAAATTAAGGAGCGCTCATGCTTTATACACGTCGACGTACCCGGTCATGCTGACAATGCGGATGCACTGCCTGACAGCTTTCCATTTCCATCGCTGCAGGCACTGGGCGAGGATCTGGTTACGGTCCTGGATTATCTACACGTTAAATATGTAATTGGTTTGGGCGAAGGTGCCGGCGCCAATGTGCTGGCTCGCTTTGGCCTCGCCCATCCGAGTCGTGCGCTCGGTTTAATCCTGATCAATGCCACTGGCAGTGCTGCAAGCGTTTTGCAGTCCTTTAAGAGCAAGGTGTGATGTGCTTTTTAAGCGTTGAAAGTGTCCTGTGTGCAATTAAATTTGTATTGCTCTCTATCATTTGCAGTTTATTAGCTGGAAAAGCGATGAGGTGGCCCAATCGGCTGAGAGCTTTCTGATGTATCACAAGTTTGGACATGTAAGTAGTCGTTGTCGAGTTGACACACTCTTCAACTAAGTGTGCCCCTGTGAGTCTGGATTAGTGCGTGGATGTGTGTGTTTGAGAGGTGTTTAATCTCTGCGTTAACTTGTATTTACTTTTCTTGTTTTTTTTTGTCTATTTTATGTTTTGAACTAATTTAACTTGGTACTACAGGTCATGGAGGTAAACAGTTTGTCAGTCTAATAAACATATCTCTGCAGCGCTCTTTATCTTTCCAACTTTAAAATAGACTCCAACTTTATATACTTTTCTCAAACATCAACTGCTTTAGAATCCATTTAAAGCATGTATATTAATGTGCTTTATTATTTTTTTTTAATTTTTTTTCTTTTAGACCTCGGTACGTAGAACCTCAAGCAAGAAATCGGCCAATACGAAAAGACAAAATATATTCGAAATTTGTATAGATCCTCATTTAGTTTTGCATGCTTTCTTATTTGCATTACTGTAGTTTTGTAGTAGCCAGCTTAACATTGTAGCTTTGGCATTCAATTGAATAATCTATAATGTAAATTATCTGCTTACTTACACTGTACAAAAAACAAATCACAACAAAAACAAACTATACATATATAGCAAATTGTTGGCGAGAATCCAGATAAGGACAAGATTGTGGCAGAATATCAAAAGCGTTTGCACCGCTCGCTCAATAGCAAGAATGTGGGCCTCTATGTTAAGGCGTTTATGAAGTAAGACAAAACAATTTGGGGCTCAACATTTTTCCAGTTTGTGACTCATACTTTAATTTCACAGTCGCAAGGATTTGACGCTTAAGGGCTGCAAAGTTGATGCCATATTGATTACGGGCATGCTCAGCCCGTATTCCTCAATGGTGGAGAAATTGCATCGCGATGTTGAAAAGGAACGTGTGACTATGTTGAAGATTGAACGTGCTGGCGACGTATTGGCGGATGCAGTGAGTCTTTAATTTTTCTTAGATAAAACATAACATATGATTAAACTTTTCATTTTCATTTAAATTTGTAGCCGTCAAAGGTTGCTCAGTCCATACTGTTATTTTGCAAGGGCCAAGGCTTGCTCACATCGATCGTAATGCCCGGGGTTGAGCGCGGACGATCCTACTCTACTGCCAGCTCAGGTTCCTTTGAGCGTCGTCTATCACGTGGCGTTTCCATGGAGGACTACGACAAGCCCAATTTACGTCGGCTTAGCATTATGAATAGTGAGTCGCCCAAAAAGGAGTAATCTACAACAACAACAACAACAAAACTTCATACGTTACATGCAGGCGCAGCAGCAAAACAGTTCAGCGTTGAGTAGTGAAACTAAGTTAAGCATTTCGCATATTTATATTAATTACTTAACTTAGCGAAAAGTCGTGCATAACATGGCAGAAATGTTATATTCTGTGAAATTAGAGGCCAAACAATCATTCATAATGCAATCGTATTAATTTTAGCCAAATGAACAACATGAATTTTAAGCCAAATTTTAATTAGCAACCTTTTTAAACATATAAACACATACATATAAACAAATACGCATAATTCTCAAAATGCATATAAAGATGAGAAGGAGAATGTTCCGTGAGTTTAAATATTTAGTATTATGTAATTCCCAACGACCCACCTGTGACAACAAAAGAACAACGATCATATCTTAACTTCAAATTGTTCAAACTAAGCGACAAATGTTTTCACTACTACTTACAAATGATATGTACAAGCAATCATCTATGTATGTAATACCTCCGATTAGTAAACTGTACCTAAGCAATTGATAACGAAAATGACACAACTACAAGAAAACTCCCATTTTTACTTTGTTTTCACTAAATTTTCGAAACATATATTTTCAAGCAGTGAGAAAATGCTATTTTAATAAATGAATATTATATACAATTGCTATATAGTGTAAGTTCAAAGCACCACAGCATTAAGCTGATTATTTAAAGTATTTATAAACCAATCAGGCACACAAATTAAGTATATAATGCGTTTAATCCAATTAATGAAGCAATGAAAATGTTAGTAGCTAAGCTTTTAGTGTTTTTCGTAGTATAACGAATACGATATTGGCATTTTAGTGTAAAGCAAATGCTTAAACACCAATAAAAAAAGTTTATCCAAGCACTCAAGCATAGCTGTAGTCACCAATAAAGTTTAAAATCTAAAACCAAACCAAACGAACTCAATGGTTTCAATTGCTTTTCTGCAAACGGTTCTGTGGTTAACAGACACTTAACAGAAGTAATTCTTGCGTTAACAGAGTCCATTTGCGTTAAGTCATTTAACATACAGTGTCTCGCAGTTCAACTGGAACAGCGCCTAGCAAAAAAGTTAATTGCCTGCCATAAACAAATTATTCAATATTTTTCAAAAATTCCAAAGAACTATGGCAGGTACATATATTGACTACCTAAATGACTATATGACCCCCATAAACTGGGGTTTATGTATGATTAAATTTGCAGTGTGGTTTCTTTCGATAAATATGCAGAGCCTTCTTCTTGAATCTCGAAATTAAAATTTCAACACAATTTTTAGGTCTTATAATATTTTGTTACATACTAAATTGCCCACTTTGCTAAATGCACATTTACACATTTGCTGATAAGGCAATATATGCATTAAGCGAGGCAACACTTGTTAAAATGTTATCATGTAAGGTCACACTGGCAGCTAGAGTTGCCAGATCAGTGGTTTTGCAACTCATTTAATAAAAAAAAAGAAAACACTTGCAACATAAAATGTTATTATAATAAGAACTGAAATAAATTCGTTTACAGTAAGAAGGACGTTTCCGGATAACTTTAAATTCAAAGGCATCTGCATGGACGCGCCGCCGCCAACAAAGCCACCGAGGGGCGTTAAATATGGAAAGGATGAGGTACATGTCAAGAGATCAATGCGAATACATTATAAACTCTAAGTTTTTGCATTAAATAAAGTGAATACGAGTGTTCAAAGACGCATAAGATACACAGTAAAACTTCTTATGTGCCAGCAGCCGTATTGTGCTAACCTGATGACGACACCGCTGCTCATGCGATGCTGTTGTTGTAGTTGCTATTTATGTTGCTGTTGTTGTTGCACGCCCTCTCTGATATTTGATAATAACAGAGAAATAAAATAGTTTGCCAGCGCGCTGAATGTGGAATACCCTTACAATACAAGGAAGATCTATTTAGTTAAGAAATGCTCTCATGCGACTCAGTTTGCCGCTTCTTCTTCAATATAAGTATGATTGATTTTGTGGTCTAATGTAAAAATATACCCATTGCACGGCTATTGAAAACACTTAATAATTTTGCTGGTTCATGTTTTGCAGTCCGCAGGTTGTGGTTTTCTCGTCAACGTCATCAAGTCGCTGGGTTTCAGCGAGACGACCGAGGAACGCCAAAAGGAGAAGCAGAAAATTGAGCAGGAATTCAAACGCTCGGATCTGCGTCTAAATGAGCTGGTCTCACGCCATGACCAGCAGCTGACCCAAGTACTGCCACTGTTTAGTCAGGTGTCCACGGAGGTGACGGCCAGTCGGGAGCGCATCCATGCGGTCAAGGAGAATCTGGGCGCCTGCAAGCGGTTGCTGCAGTGCCGTCGCGATGAGTTAAAGAAGATGTGGACGGACGCAGTGCAGCATAAGTATGTGCTGGAAATGCTGGAGCAAATGTAAGTAGCTGTATAAGTAAGTAAATTATGATTTACTTATTTATTTGATTGCAGCCAGGAACTGCGCAAAGTGCCACAACGCGTGTTCAGCTATACGGCGAAGCGTCAGTATTTGCATGCCAGCAAAGCGCTGACCGATGCCCTGGCCACGCTCAACGGACCATTGGCCGGCGTTGAGGGTTTGGCCGATTTGCGCACCGATTTGCAGGCGCGTCGTCAGCAGCTCTATCAGCGCCTGCACGAGGAGCTCGTGACGCAGGTGTACAAGAACTCGGCGAACGAAGCCTTTCAGCGCAGCAACTCGAGTCGCCTCAATTCCAGTTTCACGCGCGGCATTGGCGCACGTCGCTCCACGGATCGCATTGAAGCTAACGCTCGGGTGCGCAAGGCACTGAGCGAAATGGCGCAGGGCTTCGATCTGGATAAGGCGGAAATTATAGAAGATGCAGATCTAATTGATACAGAGCTAAGCATGAGCTACTTTATTGCCATCATTGTGGAGTGCTTTGGCATGTTGCACAAGGTCCCCGACTCACTGGAAACGGTGCGTGTTCAAATTCAAACTGAGTTGCTGGATGTGGTGCGTCAGACAACTCATCAGCTAGCCACAGGTGGAACGCTGCAAGCGGGCTCTGGTGACAGCAATCCACTTCTCACGCTGCTGGAGATTATATTCAAGCAGTTTAAGGCCATCGCAAAAACACATACTCTGTTGCTGAAGAACTATCTGGCTGTTGGCCAGAAGTATACCGTTGTTGGACCCCAGCCCTATGACCTGACCGACTTCTGGGCACAGGCACAGTCCGTGGTATGTTCAACTGCAAATATGAACAAGTGATGCATATTGAATTATTGATTCTCACTTAGCTGCAACTGCTGCTCACGGACTATTTGGACATTCAAAATGCGTCTGCGGACGAGAGTGCGCAAACCGGCTTTGTGGAGCCCATCAACAATATTAATTCATATTTCCTAAGAAGAAAAGTTCCAAGGTGAGGAACGCACAGTAGTCAAAACAATCTAAGACATAGGCATAAAATCTTACATTTAATTCTTTAACTGACAGCACGAAACGGGCAATGTTTAAGTTTGACAAATCCTCGCACATAGCCAGCACAGTGAGCAGCAACAGCACTCATGAGCCTTTCAAGGAGCATCGCCGAAATGCCTCGGACACCTCCGTCGATGACAATTTGGGTGGAAATCTGCTTGGCAGCGGCAAGGGCTCAATGACCGGCCAGTTGCCGCATGAGAAGAAACAGCGCGAAAAATTACTGATTTGCACGCCCGATCAGAATGTGATTACCAAGGTGTATCTGCCATTGATGGGTTACATACAGGAAATTGAGAACTTTATGAAGTGCAAGTCAGGGTAAGCATTACAATTAGTGTACTCATATCATAGACTTACTTGTATATATAACTCTACTTGCCAGACAACCCTGCAGCCTGCACGATTTTGTGGACAACTATATAAAGGATACATTCCTGTCCAAGGGTCACAATCGCAACTTGCAGCTGACCATTGAGTCGTTGTCGAAAAATCAGGATGCCTGGCGCGCAATTATAACGCCCGAGGAAATGAAGTCGTTGAATTTAAGTCGGCCACTGCTGCAGTCTACTGTCATGGTAGAGCGTCGCCTGGTAGAAACTAGAAATTTGATTGAAGATTTACCCTGCTACTCGGAGGAGCTGCTGAAGATGGTGTGTGCGCTGCTCAAAGCCTATCGCGAGATATGCCAGACGGCGTACAGAGGCATTGTACAGCCGGACTCGGAAGATAAGCGCATTTATAGTGTGGCTTGGCTTAAGGATGAAGATATAAGTCGTTTCTTAAAGTAAACATCCCATATGATATCAAATACTGTACTTATTAACTATAAATCTATTTATCACCTGCCGCAGAACGCTGCCCAATTGGACGGATTTGAAGACATCCAGTCAGCGCGCAAGGCATACGCGCAACAAGCTGCAACGTGGCCACTTTGAGCCATCCGAGGAGGAGAGCCCGTTGCAGGTGCAGCAGCGTAATATACGCGAAGCCGAAATGCTAACAAGCAATTTGGGAGAAGGTGGCATAACACAGCAGGAGATTCTGGCCGATATAAGCGTACTCAAGGAGCTGGCCATACTGCAGGAGAGCATGGAATGGTTCTCGTGCCGCGTCTCCGAGTTTGCCAACGAGCTGCGGCGTCCGTTGGTTAACGGCTTGAATGCGGCGGCTGCGGAGTGTGCGGCAAATGTGGCTATTAAGGATGGCACCATCAAAGTAATGACTAATCTGGCCTTGGAGTTCGATGAGCTGGCCAATACGTGCCTGCTGGTGCTGCATCTGGAGGTGCGCGTTCAATGCTTCCACTATTTGCGCTCCAAGTCCAGCATTAGAACAAATAGTTATGTCGGCTCCAAGGATGACATACTGGAGCCAGATCGTCAGGTGTCCGTGCTAACGAAGCGTCTGTCGGAAATGGATGAGGCATTGAGTGCCACATTGCATCCACGCAAAACGAGGGTAAATATCTGACTGGATTCACTTGCTTGTGGCTTGTTTTCTCTAATTTGCTACATTTTGTTGTTTTAGTATATCTTTGAAGGTTTGGCTCATCTGGCCGCACGTATACTTATACAGGCGTCAAATTACTTGGAACACATTGATCAGATCACCGTACAACGCATGTGCCGCAATTCCATTGCGCTCCAGCAAACGCTGAGCAACATAACAGCATCCAGAGAGATTGCCCTCGACCAGGCGAAACATTTCTATGAGTTGCTTTGCATGGAACCCGATGTAAGTGGTAGCATTCAAGCAACTATAAATCGGCTATTTAAAACCCAATCTGCTTGCAGGAAATACTCAATTCATTGCTGGAGCGTGGCCCACAATTCTCAGAGATGCAAATGCTGAATGCGTTGCAATTGTCGTGCAAGGCGTGCGGCATTACGGATGCCAATTTATTGGCGTCCTATCAGCAAAAGCTTTCGGATATATTGGGCGCCAAACCTTCCAAGGGTGTTGTTGTATAATATTTACAAGCAAGTGAAATATCAATATTTGAAACGAAATTCGCCTTTTATGCGCACTCACACATGCATATATATACTTATATACAACAATAATAGTGTTTTTTTTAAAGATGTAAGTGCGAAAAGTATGCTAAGTGTTAAGCCCAAATTAATTATATTAAAATGTTTTGAACATGTTGGCATGCACTTGGTGTAATTCAGATATAGTTCTTTATATACATATATTCTAAAGTTCATGAACAATATTGTAATATGGCTTATACACAATAAATACAAATGTAACAACGAATTAATTATACCCAAAGCAGTTATAAAAATCTTAAATTTAAATAAAACTTATAAGTTTCGTTAAGATACGCGACGTTTCTTTCGTTAGGTGTGGAGTGAAGCTGTTAAATTAACATAAACTCACAAGGGGCTGTTGGATATTATGTTAGGGCATAGTTTACCAACACTCTGTAACAATTGCCGCCTGAAAAGACGAAATTCGCATTAATAAACATTAAATTATGCCCGAACAAGTTGAATCAAGTCCCAAACTTAATGTAAGCAGTGAGATTAAGTCTCCCACTTATGATTTAACTAAGTTTTGTCTAAAACGCATACTTAACAACAACAGTAAATTTAAGAGCATAACATTGCTGGGCACTTTTCCGGATTTGTCCGAAACCGATGCCGCAATTGTTGTTTTCGAGAAAAATGGTAAGCAATTCGATAGTGCCGTGAATAATATTATAATAAGAAACATATCTATGCAGCCTATCGCGAAAGCGATGTAGCAACTGAAGTGCCCGCTGAGAAGGAGTCCGAGTCGGAGAAAAAGCCAAGCTACTTTAGCAGCGACCTGAAAGTTCGCACCGATTTTGTGAATAATATTTACGCGAGTTTCCAATGTGTTCCCACTCAGGAGTTGTGTGGTATGTTGAAAAATGTAATGTTCACATGCCTTGCAAATTAATCCTTAATCCTTATTCTTTGAAAGCCGTGAAGAGCACCGTGGTATATCCGGCGACCGAGAAGCACATCCAGAAATATTCCATATGCCAGAAGTACCTCATTATTGAAACACCAGATCTCTATGAATCCATCACGCTTCCCTACCTCAGCTCAAGTCAGTTCTCATTGGATTGGGTGTACAATATTCTGGAGCACAAACAAGAAACGGAACGCATTGTTTTCGAAGACAAGGATTCCGAAAATGGCTTCATTCTAGTTCCCGATCTCAAGTGGGACGGCCGCAACGTGGAGAACCTTTACTTGCTGGGGATAGTACAAAAGCGCGATATAAAATCGTTGCGTGATCTTAATGCCAGCCACTTGCCGTTGCTGCGTAATTTTCAGCAGTCGGCCAAGCAGGCGATACTCAAGCGTTACGGCTTGAATCCCAACCAGCTGCGCATGTACTTCCATTATCAGCCATCATTTTATCATCTACATGTGCACATCAACCCGATTAGGAATGATGCGCCCGGCATCTGGTGCGAGAAGTCCCATATGCTGGACACGGTGATTAACAACTTGGAGCTGGTGCCCGATTACTATCAGCGTGCCACTCTGCCGTTTGTTTCGTATGAGGGCAATAAGTTGTTGGATTTGTATGATGAGCGTTTGGGAGTGCGCAAAGCAGCATCCAAGGATGAAAAGGATTCCGACCAGGCACCCGAACCATTTACGGACGATGAACAGGAAGAGACGCGTCAATGCAAACGCATTAAGCTGAGCGCACCGGAGGAGTCCACCGAGGCCGAACTCGTTGCAACGCCGTGTGCCTAATTATTATTATGGAATAAATTTTCTCTGTAATAAAAATAAATGAGGCATAAATGCATAATGCATCACAGTTTTGTCAGTTTGTTGACTTTATTTATTTATTTATTTAATAATAGTGTCGCTATGTCTGTTCTGTGTATTTTTGTTGTAGTTGTGGCTGCTTTATGTGTATAGCTTTTGAGGCCGTTTATGTATTCTAATATTTGTAATACGTTGAAATACATACATTCCACTGCCTTTGGGGATTTTTCTTTTGTTCTTTTGTCTTTCTCGTTAATAAATAAGAAATTTATATATGTATGTATCAATACAAAATCATATACATATTTGTTAGTGAGCGCCTAAATGCTATTTTTGAAATAGGTCGAGTGTTTTCTTTTGCTTTATTTTGGGCCTTTTCTTTTTTCGACTTATGTGGCAGCCGCCTTTGAAATGATTTAATAGTGTTTTTTTTATTTGTTATAATTTTTTTTCGTTTTTAGATTAGATTTTCTAGCGTTATATTCGAGAATGCCGAATTCGATTCGGTATTTTCGAAAGTCGTGCTAAGCGAATGCTTCAATTTTATAAGCTCGTCTTCTGGCTTACGAGTTGCAGCAGCGGCATAATTGTGTGTCTAGATGTGTATGTGTATGCATATGGGTGTGTGTTAGTGTGGGTGTGTGACTGAATGAGTGTAGAATACACATTGGAAAACTTTAGCCTGGAAGCCTTGTACAACATTGTTTAAATATACATACATACATAAATATTATTTAAAATACATACATATATATATATATATTTATATATATACGTATGGCAATACATATATGTATATATATAGCTATATAAAAATAACAAAAATAATAATAGCAATAAAATCGTAGTAATTTTTTTGTTGTTGCCATTAATAAAAACAATGCGCACCCCGCCGGCTTTGCCTCGAATACTTTAAATTGTCCTCAATTGCAGTGAGTGTTGTTGTTATTGGTGCTGCTGCTGCTGGTATTTTGGATCGTTGTGCTCTCCGTGTCGGCATGCTCCTGTGGGACATACATGACAGCACTGCTGGGTGAGGTGTTAACCGACATGCTGCTCGTCATCGTTTTGTCCGCATCGGAGATGGACCAATTGCGTTCCAACTGTTCCAGAGCGGCCATCGTTGCGGTTGTGGTCACACCGGCGCCCGAACTTTCCGCGCCAGCGCAATCGCTTAGGACGCCGGCACGCAGCGTCTCCTCGAGTAGGGCCTGAATTTTGTCCTGATCATCTAGATGGACAAAACCCAGGCGCACCAGTTCGCTGGTCAGATCCGCAGCCGTATCCTCATCGTTCACCTGACACGTCAGCTGCCGATTCATTTTGTCGTCCATGCGCAACAGTATTGTCATCAGTATATCGTTGCTGTCCTCCTTCAGTTTCTTTACGCTGCACATCATGTTCACAATGCGTCGCAACTCGGTGTCCACAGGTTCTGGCGTGGCCGATTTGACCGAATCGGCACGCTCTGGTGAAGCGGCACGCGACCGAAAATGAGGCGGCTTCTTGCCGCTGTATGTTATCAGTGGATAGACACCATATTTTACATCCTCCACGAACTTCTCCAGCTTGTCGGCACCGGGCACATCCGAAAGCCGAAACTGGCGCTCAGTGCCGTCCGACATTTTGAGCTGGGCCATAATCACATCCGGGTGATTATAGCGCTGCATCAGTCCATCAAAGGCCGTCTCCGAGAACATGGTTCGATTGGCAGGCGAGAAGACCAAGCAGTGGGCGGCCAGTAGCTTCAGTGAATGCACCTACAAATATTATCCAATCAATTATCAAAATTCACATAGAAAGCGTACACATAAAGAAACATAAAAACTTTTTAATTCTTTAATTTCTTGCGATTGCATTTCGCAAATTCGTTTCCTTCGTTTAGTGTGCTGCTGCTGTTATGAGATGTTATAGCTTAGACAACTACTCAAAGGGCTACTTACATGAGTCCAACAACTATGTGGTACTTATTTGAGTTGCAGACGTGGGGTAGATGGGGGATTGGATGCACTTACCTCAAAGAGCAGTGGATGAAATAGCAAATCGCTCGCACTTGGTCGATCCTGGGGCTGTGGATTGAGACACTTGAGTATCAAATCCCGTTGCAGATCATTGTCCAGGCTGTTTATTGTGCGCAGTATTGTGTCCTCGTTGATGGCAGTCGTTTCGCTATTGCTGGACTGCGGCTGTATCTCCAGCGCAGCCATTTCGAGAGCGCACATGCCAAAGGCGTAAATGTCGACGGCGGCGGTTAATTGCTCGGCGGCACCATATTCGGGTGCATGGAAATAGTGGGCACCACGCTCCTGTTCCCGTTCACGTTCCCGTTTCGGCTGCTGCTCCAGCTCGAGATTTTGCGCTCGTCGCACACTATAATGCACCGCATCCGGGACGACAGAGCCAATTTTGACCAGACCATTGTGCTGAATGAAAATGCTATCACAGGTTAGATTGCCATGAATGATCGGCGGCGTGCAGGAATGCAAATAGCTGAGCGCGGACAGTATCTGTGTGCACCAGCGGCGCCACGATTCGAGCGGCAATCGCTTGGCATTGCGCTTGGTGCGCTTGAGGAACTGTTTCAGTGAGCCGGACGACATGTACTCTGTGATGAAGATGACGCGTGGCCGCTCAGCGTGCAGTGTATCCGTCCAGTAGCGATGGAACTTGACAATGTTCTGATGATCCAACTGCAACAGATTGTCAAACACCTGACGCATCTTATCCTCCTGCGTTTTAAGATCCTGCAGCTGCGCATATTGCACCTCATTCCAAACGACCTCGACTCCCTCTTCGGTGTCCATGGCCAGATGCACACAATCGATGCCAGGCACATCCCGCTGGTCCACCTCTTCGCGTCGCTTTAGCCAGCGTCCACACGGCGACTCCTCCAATATTTCACTCTCATCCTCTGAATCATCGCCTGATTCGCGAGGCGATGAGTCAACAGCCAAATTGGTTACGCCGCCATCGCCCCCAACACTTGCTATTGCTGTTGTTGCTGTCGATGTTGCGGTTGTTGCTATTGTACTAATGGAGGCAGCTGCAGCCGTCGACGCCGGCTGCACCGAGCTTGAACAGGGTAGTGCTGTGCTCGGGCTGCCTGCTGCCGGATTAGTTGCATTTGGATTGGGATTCGTTTCATCCACGACGCTAGCGCTGCTGCCGGCATTTACTTGACTATTTGACATTGGGGCGCGGTCGTCGATTTGTCGGCTCACAAAAGCAGTTGAACCGCTGCTGTTGTTGCTGCTACTAATATGATTGTTGTTGCTCGCTGCTCAATTGTTTATTTCAACGTTTCTTCACTGTTTGCTTTCTGTGCTCTCGGCTCCAACCGAACCGGGTGCTTCTGTCGCCGCCGACGTCGCCTGCTCCACAGCCGCAACTTCTGCCTACACACTCGCACACTCAAACACTACACACATACACATACACTCACACACAAGCACACACACACGCATACGCACTCTCCGCTGCCACCCCTCGTCTTAAACACTCTCTTGCACTATATACTCGCAGCACTCTGCCCCTCTTCGACCGTTGTTCAATAACACGGTGAGCCTTTCTGCTTGCAGCTTGTTTCCTCGATTGTTAACGCCTTTTTGGTGCAGCAGCTGTGCGTATTCATTAACTGCGCTTATTGGTCCAGTTGTGCGGCCGTTTTAGCTTGTTTAGGCGTTTTTTTCACGCTTTTAAAACACCCAAAAAATGTGAGTAAATCGATGCATCGATGCTATCGATACTTATTTAACGATGTATCGCTAAAGAGATGTATTGCATGCAATTTTATACACAAGAATAATTTATGTGTGAGATTCCATTCTAGCCGAAACATACCTGACGTCACAGATAACGAGTTACTCAATATTCTTAATTTTAAGCAATATATAACTGGCAGTTATATATATATATAATTTTAATGTATATCTTGGAGTGTATATTACTATAATAGTTTAAAAGTTGCAAACCATTTACTTTTTTTTACAACTTGCAGTACGTGGCTGCACAGCAATTATCGATTTTCAATTGTTTCCTGGAGCAATCGTAATCGGTTATCTTTTGTTCATCACTATAGCTATCGAAAAGTAGGCTCTGTCGGCTTAGCACTCGCGGCTTTTATAAATAAAATTTGTAAACAATAATCTTTATAAATATATGCGACAATGGACAGCATAATTGGACGCAGCCAGTTCGTTTCGGAAACAGCGAATCTTTTTACCGATGAAAAGACTGCTACGGCCCGTGCAAAGGTTAGTAATGGATGGAACTTGATGAGGCTGTAATTTTAAACATTTACCATGTTCCTTTGTAGGTTGTGGAATGGTGCAATGAATTTATAACAGCAAATGTAACATTGAAATGCGAGCTGCTCGTTAAAGTGCAGGAAATTGTGCTCAGCTCATGCGTTGAGCTGGCCGACGAGTTCTTGGAGCCGGTACTCTCGCTGGCGCACGATCAGAATCAGGAGGTTCGCAAACAAGTCGTCTCCTTCATAGAGCAGCTCTGGTAATTTACAAAAGACAGCTATCTAGTTATTAGTTATAGAGCAAGCGCTTCCCTGTTTATTTGTCATCCTTTTTTCTTACCTATGATTACCAATATGTGTTGCTGTTGGTTCCTTTCTGTTGGAAAATTGTGCTCTATATCTAATAACTATATTGCCATGGTATTTCATCTCTGTCATTCTGAAGATAACACTCGTTTTCTCACAGCAAGGTCAAAGTGGAGCTGCTGCCATATGTGATAAATGTGATATCGATGCTGTTGCGCGATAGCTCCGCACAGGTTATCAAACGTGTAATACAGGCTTGTGGCAGCATCTATAAGAACGGGCTGCAATATCTGTGCGGTTTGACTGATGCCACGGATAGTGCAGAGCAGGCGTGGAATGTGCTTAGCTTGATAAAGGCGCAAGTTCTGGACATGATAGATAATGAGAACGATGGTATACGCACGAATGCGATTAAGTTTCTGGAAGGCGTTATTATACTGCAAAGCTATGCAGATGAGGACAGCATGAAGCGCGACGGCGACTTTTCGCTGTCCGATGTGCCGGAGCAGTGCAAATTGATAAGACGCCAGAAACTGCAGGATGAGGGCACGAACATATTCGATATAATGCTGCAGTTCCATGGCACCACCCACATCTCGTCGGTGAATTTGATTGCCTGCACAAGCAGTCTGTGTACGGTGGCTAAAATGCGGCCGGTTCGCATGGGTGCTGTTGTGGAGGCTTTTAAGCACCTCAACAGCAATCTGCCGCCCACATTGACCGACTCCCAGGTGAGCTCTGTGCGAAAAAGTTTGCGTATGCAGCTGCAAACTTTGCTCAAGCTACGCGGGTCCTTTGAGTTTTCTTCCACAATACGTAATATACTTTTGGATTTGGGCGCCAGTACTAATGAAATACAGAAGCTGCTGCCCAAAATGGACAAACAGGAGATGGCGCGCCGGCAAAAGCGCATACTGGAGAATGCTGCTCAGAGTTTGGCGAAAAAGGCGCGCCTTGTTGAGCAGCAGCAGTTGCAGCAACAGCAACAGCAGCCACGCGAAATGGAACTGGATGAGCATGAGCTGGAGCGGCAGCGACAAAAGAGCACACGCGTCAATGAGAAGTTTCTGGCGGAACATTTGCGCAGCACCGAAACGGTGATTAATCTTGTCGTGGAGTTCTTACCATCGTTGCCGGAAGCGGCACCTGCCAAATTTCTGGAGGAGTATACGCCAATTAAACAGCTGTCGCTGCCGCAACAGGTGAGCAATATATCGCATCAATTTGGACAGCAGCTCACAGAGCTGCGCTTGGGGCCCGGCACGGCTGCCTTCAGTAAAGAGCCGCCCATGAAAGCAAAGACTCAGACGCCAGGCGAAGCACTGCCAGAAAAAGTTGCTATGGATGTGGATGAGAGTGAGTCATCGGAGAAACTCAGCGAACTGGAGCTGCAGCGCAAGGAGGAGGCCACAAAGAAGTTGCGCGACACCATGGAGCGCTCCAAGGGCGAACAGACTGTTATTGAACGCATGAAGGAGCGAGCCAAGACACTGAAGTTGCAGGAGATAACTAAACCTCTGTCGAGGAATGTTAAAGAAAAATTTCTACTGGACGCCATTATACGAATACTTAATTCAGAGCGCCAGTGCATAATGGGTGGCGTGTCGGCTAAGCGACGCAAATTGGTCACGGTTATTGCAGCCACCTTTCCGGATAATGTTCGTTATGGCATAATGCAGTTCATATTAGGAGATATTAAGCAGCGCATAGATCTTGCCTTCTCCTGGCTATACGAGGAGTACTCACTGCTGCAGGGCTTCACACGGCACACCTATGTAAAGACCGAGAATCGTCCGGATCACGCCTATAACGAACTTTTAAATCAACTCATTAGAGGCATTGGCGAGCGTTGTGAATATAAAGATCGAATTATTCTATTGCGTCGCATTTATCTGGAGGCACCTATACTGCCTGAAGAGGCCATTATGCAGCTTGTGCAGCTGTGTCTCGTCGAGGAGTTTATGCCGCATGGCTTAGAAATGGTGAAAGATCTCACAGTGCTGCGTCCGCCACGCAAGAATCGCTTTGTACGCGTCCTCCTTAACTTTGCCGTGCACGAACGTGCCGACCTGCGAGAGCGCGCTTTGGCCCATCTGGTTACCATCTACCATGTTCACAAGATTGTGCCAGCACGCATCGATGAGTTTGCCATAGAGTGGCTGGAATTTGTGGTGGCCGAGACGCCGCCAAAGGCTATTTTCTCCGCGGATTATGGCAGGCCATCGCCGGAGGCTGCATGGAAGGAAGATACCGCCAAAGTGTGCCTGTTGCTGGCGTTGACACTGTTGCCCTATCAACCAGAAGGTAAACGCTTTGAATAAATTATTACTGTTGGTAACCTATTAGTAACAAATATATGATCCCGTTGCATTACTTTTTCTTACAGTTTATTTGGAAAAGATTTGTCAGGTCTTTAGTGAGACCTCAGCGGAACTGAAGCGCACCATATTACGTAGCTTGGATGCCCCTATTAAGAAACTGGGCGTGGAATCGCCAGTCTTGCTGAAACTGCTGGAGGACTGTCCCAAGGGCTTGGAGACTCTGGTTATACGCATTATTTACATACTGACTGAACGCGTGCCTACGCCGCATCCGGATCTGGTGCTTCGCGTGCGTGAACTTTATCAAAACAAAGTCAAGGATGTGCGTGTCCTTATACCCATTCTTAGTGGGCTTTCGCGCTCCGAACTAATTGCTGTGCTGCCCAAACTCATTAAACTCAATCAGGCCGTGGTAAAGGAGGTGTTCAATCGCTTGCTCGGAATTGGAGCGGAGTTCGCTCATCAGCAGATGGCTCTGTCTTCGACAGATTTGCTGGTGGCTTTGCATACCATCGATACGAATGTGTGTGATTTGAAGGCAATTGTGAAAGCCACCTCGCTGTGCCTGGCCGAGCGTGATGTTTATACCCAAGATGTGCTAATGGCTGTTTTGCAGCAGCTGGTTGAGATCACTCCCGTACCGACCCTAATGATGCGTACAACCATTCAAAGCCTAACGCTGTGTCCGCGTCTCTCCAACTTTGTATTGAATCTGCTGCAGCGTTTGATACTTAAGCAAGTGTGGCGCCAAAAAGTTATCTGGGAGGGCTTTCTTAAGACGGTGCAGCGTCTCAAGCCGCAGTCATTGCCCGTGCTACTACAACTCCCACCGCCACAACTGGCAGATGCACTGCAACAGTGCCCAGACCTTAGACCTCAACTGCTTGAATACGCCGAAAGCATACAAGACGAGCCTATGAGCGGCATCACCCAGCAAATACTGGACATTATTAGCGGCAAATCGGTGGATGTATTTGTTACGGCAAGTTTAGTGTATCTTTAGTACAAATAATTATTGAATAATTGTAATTTATTAATTACAGGATGAAAGCGGCGGCTACATTAATCCAGACAATATCAAAAAGGAGCTCGTGGACACCTCAGATATCGGCGTAATTTCCACGGTGCCCGTTCTTACTTCACTGCCCATCGCTGCACCAATGCCCGTGCCGGCACCTGCACCACAGCCAGTTCCCGCACCCGCACTTAGTGACTTAAATCAACCGCTGCCGCCTGGCGAGGATTAGTTAGCTTAGTTTGTTTTGTTAATTTATAGTATATCGGTGACTTACTAAACCCTCTAAAATTTCTATCGATGTAATCTTTGTGGTAATAATTTTTTCACTGGGTTATCTTGTGTTTTTCAATGACCACACCATTTTGCCCCAAAAATACAACTAATTTAAAAAGTATTTTATATTTTTAAAAACTATTATCAGATCGGTTCGTTTTTTGCACTCAGAAATTTTGAATTAAAATTAGGATTTGTATTTTAGATTCATTTGAGGTTTTATAAGGTGCCATTTGTTGAAACGCATGGTTTGCAATCCGTGCTTTGTGGACCACCGTCATGTATGGACAAGTAATGCTTATAGAGATTTCGGATACCAGGACCACTCAAGAAGAGCCTACTACAAAATTTGAAGTCAAATGTTTGCTTTGCCGCTGTTGTAGATTGGGCGGTTCAGAATGCGGACCTACATTCTTTTGGTTATAATTTTGATGCTAATCTCAGTAGTTGGCATATACTCAGCTGCTTTAAAGGTATCACCATTCAACATTGACTTTCCAAAGTTCTATAACAATTTATGTTTTCGAAGGCGACGCACAACGGTAAGTCCATAAAATGTGCGCCTCATTGGATTAAAATACTGAATAAAACTGCCTCTAGCGAGATCGCATTGCTGTCCACGGCTATCCTGTGGAGCATCACCATGTCGCCACTGAGGATGGGTACATACTCGGAGTCTTTCGTATACCCCATTCCCATAAGTTGCAGAACCAAAATGAATATCGTCCAGTTGTGCTCATTCAACATGGTATGATGGGTGGTTCGGACGCATGGATTTACGTTGGCCCAGACAATGGCTTGCCATACATGCTTGCAGATGCGGGCTTTGATGTTTGGCTGGGTAATTCTCGTGGCAATACTTACTCAAGGAACCATTCTTCACGTTCCACATTTTATCGAGACTTTTGGAATTTCAGCTGGCACGAGATTGGATTCTATGATATGCCCGCCATGATCGATTACGCCTTGGATACCAATGGTCAGGGACAGAAGTCCATACACTATGTGGGACACTCACAAGGAACAACTGTATTTTTCACACTAATGTCCTCACGTCCAGAATACAATGAGAAGATAAAAACGGCTCACATGTTTGCTCCAGTTGCGATAATGGCACACATGCAAAACAAATTAGTGCGTGCAGTGGCACCGTGTCTTGGACATGTGAACCAATGGTCGCATTTATTTTCAAGCCGGGAGTTTCTACCATTCAATAGCTTTCTATTGACCTTCATATCTTTTTTATGGGAGCCTCTTCCGCGAATAATTTGTGTACATTTTCTAAAAAAGTTTTTTGACACTGGTAGATGGAATTTGGTAAGCAGAATGTTGTAAAATTAGGTAGAAATCACAGCCGATTCTTTTAAATAGTCAGCTCTGGCAGAAGGATTCGGTGAGCAGCCGGCTGGCTGTTCCACAAATCAAATATTGCATTATATGCAAGAACAGCAATCGGGCCATTTTAGACTGTACGATTACGGCACCAGGAAGAATCTAGAAATGTATAAATCAGAGCAGCCACCAGATTATCCGGTGGAGAATATAACCGCAATAGTGCACTTGTGGTATTCCAAAAATGATGTTATGGCCGCAGTGGAGGACGTGTTGGCTCTGGCGAATCGCCTGCCCAACAAGGTGTTGCATCAAATTAAGGATCCTAGGTGGGAACACGATGATTTTGCGCTAAACTTGGAGATCCGTGATTATGTAAATAAGCCAGTCGTTGAGATTATACAAAATTTTGAAAGAATTAAGAATGAAATTTGATTATCTTCATTGATATTTTATCTATAATCACGTATAAATTAAAAAATCTGTAATGAGATCGAAAACTTTCAAAATAGTTCTAATTTTGTGAAATTAAACTGTCTACTGATATTAATCGGCACTAAATAAATAAATAAATAATAAATGGTAATCTGCTTGCAAAATAGTCTATATGGACTAATGTGTGCGCCATCACTTGTAAGTCCCTACATGAAGGTATTAATCAGCTATTCATTTTATATACATATATACTTTTGGTATAACTGATAAATGTTTAGTACTCAAATATTTTTGGAATGCATATATCTCTAATTTATTGAAATTGGAGATATATAGAAATATAATTCTAAACATATCACTACTTTTACTATTCCTATCTACAATCTGATAAGCTTGTACCACTTGATGATAAGCATTGAGCACTTAGCTAAAAAATTTAGAGCCAAATGCTTGTCCAGTTGAAGTTGAGTTGCTAAACAATGCAGAACCAATTCGTTTTTGCAATAATTTTATTGCTTACCTCGTTGGCTGATGTTCAGCCTGCAGCTCTGAATAAATCTGCAGTCGACATTGACTTCTTTAAGCTGTATGACAATCCAGAGGCGCATATAAGTCCTCAAAGACGTCGCACAACTGTAAGCCTAATATATCTGTAAAGCAATGGCCAAATTTTGAACCGAAATATTATTTATTATAAGGCTGATCGCATTGCTGCGCACGGATATCCTTCGGAGCACCACCATATTGTAACAGAAGATGGATACATAGTGGGTGTTTTTCGCATACCCTATTCCCACAAGCTGCAGAACCAAAACGAATATCGTCCCATCGTCCTTATTCAGCATGGATTATTAAGTTGCTCTGATATTTTGATACTCTGCGGTCCCGATGACGGACTGCCCTTCCTGCTTGCTGATGCAGGATTCGATGTCTGGCTGGGTAATGGTCGTGGGAATGCCTACTCAAGAAACCATACATCACGCTCCACACTACATCCTTATTTCTGGAAGTTTAGCTGGCACGAGATTGGATACTATGATATTGCAGCGATGATCGACTATGCATTGGAGACCAATGGTCAGGGACAGAAGTCCATACACTATGTGGGACACTCCCAAGGAACAACTGTATTTTTCGCATTGATGTCCTCACGTCCTGAATACAATGAGAAGATTAAAACGGCTCACATGTTTGCTCCAATTGCAATAATGACCAACATGCGAAACAAGTTGGTGCGCTCAGTGGGTCCCTATCTAGGGCATCAGAATATCTACTCGCTTTTGTTTTCCAACCAAGAAATGATACCACACAATAACTTCTTGTTGACTCTGTTATTCAATGTATGTGAGCCGGATCAACAGCTAAGAATAATTTGTGAGAATGCTATGGAAAATCTCTACGCTGGTAGTCGTGTGAATATGGTAATTAATTAATAATTAGTTCACTCTTTCCCTTATGAATGTTTAACATATTTATTAAATAGACTGCAATGCCGGAGTATTTGGCTACACATCCGGCTGGGTGTTCCTCCAATCAAATGCTGCACTATGTGCAGGAACAACAGTCGGGACATTTTAGATTGTACGATTACGGCACTAAGAAGAATCTAGAAGTGTATAAATCGGAACAGCCACCAGACTATCCCGTCGAAAATATAAGCTCCGAAGTGCACTTGTGGTTTGCAGACAATGATAGCTTGGCAGCGGTTGAGGATGTAATGGCCTTAGCTGATCGACTACCGAACAGGGAACTGCATCATATGGAGGATCCAATGTGGAATCATCAAGACTTTGCCATAAACTTTGAGGTTCGCAAATACTTAAACGAACCGGTCATTAAGATTATGATGGAATTTGAAGAGTGCAATAAATAAATCCGATTGCTTAGTTTAAGTTTTACGCATTACAATAATTGCTCCATTGTTAAAAATGTTTTTGTATTTATTTTGCGATTCATGATATTAATTTATATTAAAATAAAACTTTTTTTGGCTTTCATAACTAGGAGTCTATTTATTGTTTAGAATTATGAAGTTGACTCTTTTTCGTGAATTCTAGAATTTCGATTACGTTTTAAAGACTAGTTGCCTGGGACAGAAGGTCAGTTAAAATTCGCCAACTTGATGAGCAAATTTCATCAAGAAATTATTAAGCAATTTACTGTAAATGAAACTGTTTAAGTGTCACCACTAAAGAGTGTCAAAATGAAGTGTTGGCAGAAATATTTTAGTTTCTAAATTTAATTGTTTAAACCAGTTGCATAATCAATCACTCGATTTATTTTTTCATATTTCTATAATAATTTTACCAATCCTATCTATAATCTGATAAACTGAAACCACTTAATGATAAGCCTTAAATACTCAGTTAAAAAACACAAAGTCGAGTGATTGTCCCACAACAGTTGTAGTTCAGTCGTTAAATAATGCAGAACCAATTGGTTTTTGCAATAATTTTATTGCTTACCTCGTTGGCTGATGTTCAGCCTGCAGCTCTGAATAAATCTGCAGTCGACATTGACTTCTTTAAGCTGTATGACAATCCAGAGGCGCATATAAGTCTTCAAAAACGTCTCACAACTGTAAGTCCAAGATAATTGTAAAGCATGGTCCTAAGTTTTGAATCGGAATATTATTAATTAATAAGGCTGATCGAATTGCTGCGCACGGATATCCTTCGGAGCACCACCATATTGTAACAGAAGATGGATACATAGTGGGCGCATTTCGCATACCTTATTCCCACAAGCTGCAGAATCAAAACGAATATCGTCCCATCGTCCTTATTCAGCATGGATTAATGAGTTGCTCGGATGCTTGGATACTCTGCGGTCCAAATGACGGACTGCCCTATCTGCTTGCTGATGCAGGCTTTGATGTCTGGATGGGTAATGGTCGTGGGAATGCCTACTCAAGAAACCATACATCACGCTCCACACAACATCCATATTTCTGGAAGTTTAGCTGGCACGAGATTGGATACTATGATATTGCAGCGATGATCGACTATGCACTGGAGACCAATGGTCAGGGACAGAAGTCCATACACTATGTGGGACACTCCCAAGGAACAACTGTATTTTTCGCATTGATGTCCTCACGTCCTGAATACAATGAGAAGATTAAAACGGCTCACATGTTTGCTCCAATTGCAATAATGACCAACATGCGGAACAGCTTGGCGCGGTCAGCAGGTCCCTATCTGGGGCATCAGAATATTTACTCGCTTTTGTTTTCCAACCAAGAACTAATTCCACATAATAGTATCATAATGAATATATTTTTTAATTTATGTGAGCCGGATCAACAGCTGAGAGTAGTTTGTGAAAATGTTGTGCAAAAGCTCTACGATGCTGATCGTGTGAATATGGTAAGTACAACTAGTTAACTTGTATCCTCGAAAATGCTAAACATATTTTATAAATAGACTGCAATGCCGGATGGTATGGCTACGCACCCGGCTGGGTGTTCCTCCAATCAAATGCTGCACTATCTGCAGGAACAACAGTCGGGATATTTTCGATTGTACGATTATGGAACCAAGAAGAATTTAGAAGTGTATGAATCGGAGCAGCCACCAGAATATCCTGTCGAAAATATAAGCTCCGAAGTGCACTTGTGGTATGCAGACAATGATTTAATGGCAGCGGTTGAGGATGTATTAGCATTGGCTAACCGCCTGCACAACAGGGAACTGCATCATATGGAGGATCCAATGTGGGATCATGGGGACTTTGCTCTGAACAAGGAGGTTCGCAAATATTTAAATGAGCCGGTAATTACAATTATGATGGAGTTTGAAGAGTCCAATAAAGAATTGTAAAAAATTAATGGAATCCATCAGAAACCTATTTATAATACAAAGAAGTAATCGCTGCATTGATTATAATGTTTTTGTTTTTATTCTACGAGTCATAATCTTAATCTTAATCTGAACTATTATTAGATGAACAATTTCCCACCACCAGTGAGGTCTCCGTAATAGCTGTTGAAGTGGTATAGTCCACCAATAAAGAATTTATAAACTTTTCTAATCTATGAATGGGCTGGTTTTTTGATATTGGTAGATGGAACTTGGCAAGCAGAATGTTTTAAAATTAGGTAGAAATCACAGCCGATTCTTTTAAATAGTCAGCTCTGGCAGAAGGATTCGGTGAGCAGCCGGCTGGCTGTTCCACAAATCAAATATTGCATTATATGCAAGAACAGCAATCGGGCCATTTTAGACTGTACGATTACGGCACCAGGAAGAATCTAGAAATGTATAAATCAGAGCAGCCACCAGATTATCCGGTGGAGAATATAACCGCAATAGTGCACTTGTGGTATTCCAAAAATGATGTTATGGCCGCAGTGGAGGACGTGTTGGCTCTGGCGAATCGCCTGCCCAACAAGGTGTTGCATCAAATTAAGGATCCTAAGTGGGAACACGATGATTTTGCGCTAAACTTGGAGATCCGTGATTATGTAAATAAGCCAGTCGTTGAGATTATACAAAATTTTGAAAGAATTAAGAATGAAATTTGATTATCTTCATTGATATTTTATCTATAATCACGTATAAATTAAAAAATCTGTAATGAGATCGAAAACTTTCAAAATAGTTCTAATTTTGTGAAATTAAACTGTCTACTGATATTAATCGGCACTAAATAAATAAATAAATAATAAATGGTAATCTGCTTGCAAAATAGTCTATATGGACTAATGTGTGCGCCATCACTTGTAAGTCCCTACATGAAGGTATTAATCAGCTATTCATTTTATATACATATATACTTTTGGTATAACTGATAAATGTTTAGTACTCAAATATTTTTGGAATGCATATATCTCTAATTTATTGAAATTGGAGATATATAGAAATATAATTCTAAACATATCACTACTTTTACTATTCCTATCTACAATCTGATAAGCTTGTACCACTTGATGATAAGCATTGAGCACTTAGCTAAAAAATTTAGAGCCAAATGCTTGTCCAGTTGAAGTTGAGTTGCTAAACAATGCAGAACCAATTCGTTTTTGCAATAATTTTATTGCTTACCTCGTTGGCTGATGTTCAGCCTGCAGCTCTGAATAAATCTGCCGCCGACATTGACTTCTTTAAGCTGTATGACAATCCAGAGGCGCATATAAGTCTTCAAAAACGTCTCACAACTGTAAGTCCAAGATAATTGTAAAGCATGGTCCTAAGTTTTGAATCGGAATATTATTAATTAATAAGGCTGATCGCATTGCTGCGCACGGATATCCTTCGGAGCACCACCATATTGTAACAGAAGATGGATACATAGTGGGCGCATTTCGCATACCTTATTCCCACAAGCTGCAGAACCAAAACGAATATCGTCCCATCGTCCTTATTCAGCATGGATTAACGAGTTGCTCGGACGCTTGGATACTCTTGGGTCCAAATGACGGACTGCCCTACTTGCTTGCTGATGCAGGTTTTGATGTCTGGCTGGGTAATGGCCGTGGCACGACCTACTCAAGAAATCATACATCACGCTCCACACAACATCCATATTTCTGGAAGTTTAGCTGGCACGAGATTGGATACTATGATATTGCTGCGATGATCGACTATGCATTGGAGACCAATGGTCAGGGACAGAAGTCCATACACTATGTGGGACACTCCCAAGGAACAACTGTTTTTTTCGCATTGATGTCCTCACGTCCTGAATACAATGAGAAGATTAAAACGGCTCACATGTTTGCTCCAATTGCAATAATGACCAACATGCGGAACAGCTTGGCGCGGTCAGCAGGTCCCTATCTGGGGCATCAGAATATTTACTCGCTTTTGTTTTCCAACCAAGAACTAATTCCACATAATAGTATCATAATGAATATATTTTTTAATTTATGTGAGCCGGATCAACAACTGAGAGTAGTTTGTGAGAATGTTTTGGAAAAGCTCTACGATGCTGATCGTGTGAATATGGTAAGTACAACTAGTTAACTTGTATCCTCGAAAATGCTAAACATATTTTATAAATAGACTGCAATGCCGGATGGTATGGCTACGCACCCGGCTGGGTTTTCCTCCAATCAAATATTGCACTATCTGCAGGAACAACAGTCGGGACATTTTAGATTGTACGATTATGGAACCAAGAAGAATTTAGAAGTGTATAAATCGGAACAGCCACCAGAATATCCTGTCGAAAATATAAGCTCTGAAGTGCACTTGTGGTATGCAGACAATGATTTAATGGCAGCGGTTGAGGATGTATTAGCATTGGCTGATCGCCTGCCCAACACGGAACTGCATCATATGGAGGATCCAATGTGGGATCATGGGGACTTTGCTCTGAACAAGGAGGTTCGCAAATATTTAAATGAGCCGGTAATTACAATTATGATGGAGTTTGAAGAGTCCAATAAAGAATTGTAAAAAATTAATGGAATCCATCAGAAACCTATTTATAATACAAAGAAGTAATCGCTGTATTGATTATAATGGTTTGGTTTTTATTCTACGAGTCATAATCTTAATGTTAATCTTAGCTATTATTAGATGAACAATTTCCTACCACCAATGGGGTCTCCGTAATAGCTGTTGAAGTGGTATAGTCCACCAATAAAGAAATTATAAACTTTCCTAATCTATGAATGGTATGTTAAGTATATTCGCGTGTACATAGAGTATAATAAATTGCAATCACCACCAGCAGCGCTCCTTTTTTCGATCCGATCACGATTTAAAAACTCTCGCTAATCTACCTGCAGCTGAAGCAAAACAAGTCTTATCGATCTCGCTTTTGACTTATGATGAACTTTCTGAAGATGATGACTCATAGACTGAAATAATAAAAAACAATATTGGCTTCTACATATTTGATCAGTTTGGTTCTTGTCTTTAATTATCAATGATCGCAAATTTTTGTGTCACGTCAAAATGTTGATAAAATAAATTTAAAGATAAATATATTTAAATATTAGCACCTCGAATTAAAAAATTTAAAGTCCAGTCGGGCATAAAATTATTTTAATATTCTGGTATTGGTTTTGCAAGTTCAAGGACACCTCTTGGCTAAGAGACTGCTCAACAGAGTTTGCTTTTGCCTGATTTTGATTTGATTAATGAACTCAAATGTAACAGCTAATAGCTTGTAATTAGGGGAGCATGCAACGTTAGCTGAAATGATTGGCTTGAAATATTAATAACAATATTTGTTATTAAATTGTTGAATCATTTGATAATTACTTTCTCTATCAGCCATAAGAGCTGGATGAAGTCGATTTACCAGGGAAAGTACATGAAAGTATACTAAAACAGTTTTATAACAGTATGCAGCGAGTCGTGGTAAGCGAAAAACACATGGAAGCGTTAAATTGATTCGACAACATAAATTGCACAACACCGAAAAGCCCGCCTAAGAGTTCTAGTGGAGTTATTATAGGACTAGAAGTTATCCAATACTAATTAGTAAGGTGAGGAAAACAAATAAAAACAGTCACTATATTTGTAGTGGATTCTTAAATTCAAGTATAAGTATGGGCTAACAGTGTAAAAAAGTTAACCCTAATTGGCTTTCCTTAATCAGTAAAATTAATTTGGACATGCTCACTTTCTCCCTGGCGTAACTTTTTGACAAATTTATAATATCCTTTTCATCTATTTTTAATTGCAGAGAACCAAAACAACAGCTCAAACGGGAAACTAAGGTGGTGACAAGAAGAATAGAAGTAAACCCAATTTCTGGGGAATGAATCCACTTGGGAAAATGGGAACAGGAGTGATTTCTCCTGGTGGTGGGTCAGGAGAATTTTGTTAAAGCCTTCGGCTGTTTTCAGCGCTTACCATAAAGTAAACCTGGGTGCGATTTCCAGATAAATTAGGAAGGCCAAAAAAGAATATACATATTTTATATTCATGTGTCAAGTGCTTGCGCTTGCATATGCTAAGCTGGTTTAATTTTCGGGTAAAATTTTTGGCAGCTTGCCGCTGTTAATATTAATATTTTGCTACAAAAACAAAATTTTAATTTTGTACCGCCCTTTGCACCGTTTTGGTTCCTGAGTAAATACTTTTTACTGCTGTATTTTATTGTGGTTGCTTGCTCTGAGTCCCTTGCCTTGGGTCATAAGCTCTAAATAATAACGGGTCACAAATTGAGATTTATTAAAATTCAAACACGAAATATAATTAAAATTTGTATTACATTGCCGTGTTTAATAATGCCGTGCTTTATTATATTATACTTAATTAATAATTAACTTAATAATAATAATTATAAGCTGAAATTCCTAAGAAATTTGCAAGCGAAAAATATTTTAATAACTATCTGCTTTTAGTAAGCAACAAATAAAAATTTGTAACGAACACGTTGAAATGTGCCGCAAACTGGAGGCGTACTCTGTTTACAGTTTGCTGCACACTTCAACGAGTTCATTACATAATTAAATGGCGCCCAACGTGGGGCTACGAATAACGTATTACGGTTACTTCTCCAACTCCAACTCCTTCAAGTCGATTTAAACCAGTTGATAGATTTCTAAATAAATACCACAATTATTGTTAAAAGAGAATTACATTGTCCTGGGTGGATTATTTTGCCACTTTCCTCTTTTCCGAAAACAATTCTTCAAATTAAAGTAGAATCACTTATTGGTTAAGGGAAAGCACGATTGATATATTTATAATTTCAAGATACAACCATTTTATTAACGGATATGTCCCAAAGTAATTCATAAATTCGATAATTTCATTCATTATTCGCTTATTGCCTATCGTTTGATAGTTAACTAAATATTATTATCGTTTTCTAAATCTAGTATCATAAGTTTAAAAATAAAGTTATTTTAAGATTTTTTGATTATTGTAAATTTTGAATATTCTTTAGTTATCATATATCATTTATTATAATGGCAGTGCAGCGAAGTAACAAAGATATAGCAGCTAGCATTAATGCTGATATAGTGTTGTGTAACATTTGTCGAGACTCAGTTCGGATTAATACTGAAATCATCGGAAGTTCCTCGCACAGTTCGTGGTGGCCATCGAAGTGGTGCTACACCTAGGAATAGACCTAACACCAGATCCAATAACCAACGAAATAATTCTGGAGCACAGACTTCCAGGCCTAATACTAATTTTAATGTCAGGAATAGACGTGATTCATCCAATGCTTCGCTTTACCCGCCCATCTTTTCTGAACAGCGAATTCAGCAACTTATTTCAAACTCGTTAGATACATTTCGAGCCAGTATGGTTGTCGCAGTGAGTGACGAGATCAGTTTAGCTATAAGAAACCTTAATCTCTCTAGGAACCATCAGGAAGCTCGAATTGAATCAGGAGTCGAGCAAAAGGGATTCGAACAGCTGTAGATAATCGAAGTACTGATTCCATTGAACGACCCGACAAAGTCTCAAGTATTATTTCGAGTTGGCATGTACAATTCTCTGGATCTTTTAATGAAATTTCCGTGAAAGATTTAATTTACCGGATCAATCGCTTGACCGACCACTGCCCGAACGGAAATTGGAATTTGCTTTATCAATTTGCAAATATTTTGTTCTGTGGACCTGCATTACAGTTCTACTGGCGGTTTCAAAGAACAAATAGTCGGTCTAATTGGTTTCAACTATGCGATGCCTTCCGTGAGCGATATAGAGATCAACGCTCGGATGAGAATATAAAAGATTCTTTAAGATCTCGTAAACAGCGAAATGGAAAAAGTTTTGATCAATTTTTGGATGCTATCCTGTGTATTGCTGATGCAATGCGAGAACCAATGACAGATCGGGAGTTAGTGGCTACTATTAAAAGAAATCTTAAGCCTGAATTGAGGTTAGAAATACTTCATGTAGCTACGTCCAATATAGCAACCCTTCGAACTGAATGTCAGAAGTACGAACAATTCTGTTTAAGTATGTCTTCAAAACCTATGCTTCAGCCAACTAACACCAGGCGTTTTCTTAATAAAGTCATGCATGAGGAAGAATCGATAGATACTTCCCATACGTATTCTGCAGAGGCAACCGAGATAAATGCAATACGATCAGTTGATAGGAAAAAATGTTGGATTTGAGATAAGATAGATCATAGATATCAAGATTGTATAAAAACCAGACGCGTATTTTGCTATGGTTGTGGCCGTCTTGATACATACAAACCGACATGTCCTAAGTGCAACCCCGTATCGGAAAACTTGCAACAGGATATCCACCGAGCATAATCAGTGGATGTTCACCTACAGCCTCGGATCAACTATCAAGCAATGAAATAGACTCAATTTGTACCCCACAAATTCCGAACAATAACACGGAGTTATCGAAGAATCTAAGATTCAAACCGTTGTATGTCAAGTTGAAAGAATATTACCAGCGTAGAGCGAAAGTATTCTGTTTGAAAGTAAGAATGAAGGAATTTTGGAGAAACAAGCGACCGCTAAACACCATTACAGTTGTCTCTACCATTATTTGCGATTTGGTCAAAGCTAATTAGAATTATTAGATAGTGGTGCTGGTAAAAGCGTGATCGGAGGACAATTGGCCGCACGATTGCTTGCAACAGACCTAACGTTTAAAAAATTAAAAGTCAACGTTTGCATTGCAGACGGCAAACGTTAAAAAGTATTAGGTACTGTTGCATTTGCATACATATCGATAGGCAATTATCGCATACCACCACCAAAAAAGAAAATTTAAAGGGCCACATCGCTGAAAAAACAAAAAGTGTGGCAGTGTCAGCGAGATCACCGTTGAATGTGACCGCATTTTCCACAAGGTGGCGTTTTGTGGGTTAGGGAGAATTAGCGCATGACCAAAACAGGAAAAGTGAGGCAGGTCATGTTACGCGGCGCTTAAATTTTTGTGTCGTGCGAACGAAGATGGGAGTATCTTTGGGAGTCCACTAACCCTCCGCTATATTTTGGGCGTTTTGGAATAAAATTCGGCGAAAGTGTGTTCGTTTAAATAAATTTTGTGTTGCTCTAATTTTGTGGTACATGTTCAGGTGGACGACAGCAGGGCAGGACGCAATTTTTTTTTGCTTGGTGACCAAAATTTGTCTGCAATTAACACAACGACGGTTCTGCCAGGAGCAAATTCGCTGTATACGACCTTGTCTACGACTACGAAGGAATCTCTTGGCCAATCGTTTATTTTCGACGTTGGGAGTGCGCATGCGCAACGACGAAAAGCTTTTTCAGCTGGTGAGTGAGTTCCAGTACGAAACCATTGCTATCACGTACTCCTAGGATAGAGCTTTCAGCAACCCAAATCGCTTAGTTCGAGCGTAATAAAATTTAATCAAACAAACAATTAAAATCAAACGCATGAACCAAAGAAATTTAATGTCACGCTCAAATGAAAAATGCGCAATTTATGTGAAACTTACGTATTGTCAAGACATATAACTGGTATTTTCGATAATTTAAATCAAAATTTACTTGCCTGTACATCTTGGTTACATCAGCTGTTATCGCATAACGATGTAGTCTGAAAGGCTGAGGTTGATAACAGTTTTTGATTTGCGAATGATTGTGTGTTGGTAAAGAGTTTGGTTGTGTTGCTGAATGTAGGTAGTTCTTATGTAACAAGGAATGATGCGATCTCTGACAATGGCGACAGCGATTTGTTGAAGGACAATCAGCCATTTGATGACCCTTAGACAAACAATTAAGACACTGTCGGTGACGTTTGACGACATCAAAACGTTGCTGCGCATCCAATGCTTTAAATTGTTCGCAAACCATCGAATTGTGAATTAAGCTTGAGCACAATGCACAAACAGCGATAGCAAGTGCGAAAGACGAGTTATGTCCTTTGCCAGGATTACGAATCTGTTTTGAATGCGTTTGGTTAATTGTTGTACCTTTGGACAACAGGAATTGGCAATGACGCTCCAGTACTTGTATGCACTGAGCCCAAGTCGGGATTGTTGTATAATCTAGTGATAAATTCCATTTGTTTCTAGTTTCCTGGTCACATTTATCTATGTCGATGTCAGAGACCAAGGACGAAAGCGAACTAAATAATACCGATGCATTATCAATTACCGAAAGTAGCTGAGTAGCATTTGATGAACTAGCTGAAGGCAACTGAAAAATAGACGATACTGTCTCTGTGAATATCAATGCTGGCTTGTCATACCGAGACTTTAATTTCTCTAGGGCCTTAGCGTAGTTTTCATTGTTGAGTGTAAATGCCTTCACGCGCTCCAGTGCAGCACATGGTAATTCATATGAACACCTTTCTTCAGCTTTTATCTTCGTCTAGTAGATTTAGATTAAACCTGTGTTGAAGTGGTGTACATATATGCACATTAATATTAACAAAAATGACAACAATTCGCACTAGTAACTTTTTTTTGGAACGTGACTCTAACAACGATGAGCCTGTAAGCAAACAGCTGATCGATAATGCGTTGATGCGTTGGGCGAACCATTCACAGCACAGCATTTAGAGCATCTGCGCGTAACGACGCGCACACTAGTTGGTTCCGGCCAATGCATTTCCCTTCTGCAATTGGCGACGTGGCAACAAATTTCTTATTGAAAAATAACTTTTCGGCATCGTCATATTAAAGCTCGTTTTATTGACATTAATTGAAAGAAACCGATAGCAAAAACTTTGAAAAGTGTGTTCCCACCAATATTGGATAGAAATTGCGTAAATAGATTATAAAAACCCGACATAGCATATTACTTAAAAGATTTTTTGGTGTTTAGGAATCTTCCGAAAACGTGGGGGCTGCCATAAGCAAATTGCGGCTACACCAATCATTCAAATTGTGATCACTTACAGTGTGTCAGTGCCCTTTCTGTGATTGAAGCTGCACAGTTGCAAAACTTCGATTATTTGGACTGAACTCTACAAGCCCATACACAACGATTTAGTAAAATTTTAGGTTAAATTAACATAGAATGAATTGGTGAAGAATGAATATTTAATTTTATAATGCGTTAACTAAACTTGGTATATTATGTATATGTAATATCAGCTATCAACGTCATCCGGCGTCAGGCCTGTCGACTACGATGGACTGGTGCAGTAAGTACGGCGTAAAAATAACCAACCAATAATGACCATATAACAGATGTGGCATACAAAGACATATGAAAATACCTCCTGATTTAGTTAACTCATATTACACACATATATAAATATATATACATAGATGTGCATAGAAGTGATTTTGTAGCATAAGTTTATAATTGAATATTACTTGATTCACATTGAAGAAAAAGAAATTGAATGAATTATTAGTAATTAAGTAACACTCCCAAAAATGAAACTTGACAACTAGTAATTAAATAAAACTCCTAAAATGAATGTTAAAAATAATGGAACTAAAACCCCCATTATGAAGTATATAAGGAATTCATTATGGATTAAAATAGTTGAATGGGCTCCTGGGATAAATATGATTGTGCATCTTTAATAAAGTAAAGGCACCGAATATTAGTCTTTACAGGTTGGGCGGGTAAAGGAAGAACATCACAACTCTTTTCTTTCTTTCTTTTCTTCGATCTAATATATCACTGGTGGATTCTGTTAGCTATTCTTTCTGGTTGTTTTATTCCGTTCCTTTAGCACTCTGTCTACTATTTTTTAGTTATGTGACACGGCACCCACCACATTTTCCCTGAGCACAGTCGACACTGTAGCCAGAGTATGCCTCCAGTTTGCTGCACACTTCAACGTGTTTGTTACAAACTGTTGCATATTAAGTCGTAAATTAATATACCATTCACAACCATTCAAAACTCAAATCAGATTTTTGAATGTATCTGTATATAATCGAATATTGTATAAGAAATTATGGACTTTCCGTTTTACAAGTTCAATAAAAAGTACTTAGTTTTCACATAAATTGTATGTAAATAAATTTCGGTTGATAAATTGCGATAAGTTCTTATTACATATTGTATACATTTAATAACTGGCGTAAATTGAAACACAATTCATATTGTGCCTTTGTGCGGCCATTAATGTGCATTAGTTCAATCAAAACCAGTTAGAGTGATAACGAGACAACAATTGTCAAACTAAATAACCATGACACAGTCTTCTTGATAGTGTACGCATTTTAGTTCTTGAAGAATTACACTTTTCGAAACTATTTAAATCAAAATTTTAATTACATACGCTTTTTTTATTTATTATATATACTTATTTTTACATATATTACGATTTTTTGTGTTGCGATGATAACAGTTATCACGCATTCGCCATGAATGCAGCTAATATTTCTGGCGCCTAACTTTAAGAACTCAAATAAAGACTAAGTATCTTCACACCGTCCAACAAAATAAGATAGTAGCTATAATTCTATTAATTCTAAAAAAGAACAATTCAACTATAGCGTTCTTTTTTTTAAGAATCATTTTAACAATATATAATAATATCAACGACTACTTCAACTAATTACTGTTAGCCATTAGGCCTATTTTCATTTAAAAAATAGTAAAAGTTTTCTAAAACCGTCAAATTAAATGTTGATTAATGTAAATGGATCCAGTACCTATTTGCCTGCAGCCAGTTATAACTCAATTCTCTACTAAGTACACATGTATATAAGGCTCCTGAATCACGTTATGTCAAATGTCAACATGGCAACCGTTATGTTGCATATATTATGATAGGAAAAAAACTGGAAACAAATTCGGATTTACACATTTATCTTTATTCAGTACTCGTACAGCTTATAGACTAGATCTAATGGCACACATCAGCATCAAGTGGGGGTGTGTATTTGTTCAGTAAATAAGTCAGATGATAAAGTAAACTCTCACACAGACGGTCGTACTTTGCATGAGTTATGAGATCGTATTTGATAAACGCTGCTGATCTCAGAAAAGCAGAAGGTGATTAGTTACTATTGGATTTTAAATTCAGTTTTTCGCCGCAGTTGGTGCGCATCGCTTGTGTGTGAGAGTTTGCAACTGTTGTCCTGTGATAGTTATCCTGATTTCGTGACAGAATAGTTAATTAAATGTGATAAATCATAAAAACAAATGGAATTAATTCAGTTGGTAGAATGTTGTTTAACTAACTAGTTGTCAGCTAACTCATTTACAGAAATTTATTCTTAAAGTCGAATTTCTGCAATAGGAATTACGTTTTCTTAAGTTTTTGGCTTTAATCTATTTGTTAAATTTTCAAAATATCTAGCAGCAAGTTAAAGGCATATTGGAATGAAATTCTGAAACTTTGTACAAATATTTCACAACTGCTTCTGCCAAAGAAAGCTCTATTCTAGCAGCTGCACGACGGCCAGCATCCGAAGTAACAAAAAATTGAGTTAGTGATAAAGTTGGAAGTAGTTGTCATTAGGATACACAATAAGATAGTGGCGAAAACTTAATGAAAAATCGAAGCAGGCTGCAGAAATTGTGCTATCAATGTGTGCGTGTGCTTTTTGTACAACTGAACCAATAGAAAAGTAATCAAACCTAAGCGTATTAAAGCAAAAAGTACGCTTAAGCAACGCGGCAGGAAGTCAATAAAAATAACCACATAAAAGCAACTTGCGGTCTACAGCATTATGTCAACGACTACTGAGGAGGTGGCCACAACAATGGTGGCGGACGCTAATGCTCCATCTATAGTAACCAATGCGATTGTTCAGACAGTTCAGTCCATAATTAGCAGCACAACATCAAAATCAAAAACAGCAGCAGCAACCACAAATGTCGCAGCTTCAGGCAGTTCCACTACCACACCAACAATACCAACAACAACAACAACATTACAAACACCATCCTTGTCCAGCATGAAGGAGAATCTCAGCGTGAGCGATTTAAGTAGCACACTGCAACATTTTGGAACTGTTGATTATTTGGTTTTCATCGCCATGTTGGCGGTCTGTGCCGTAATTGGCTTCTATTTCGGCTTCATCGAAAAGAAGCAGAAAAAGAAAAGGGGCCAATTGTCTACCGATGAACAAGATGGCCTCGCATCTGGTGGCATCGAAGAGACACTCGACTCGGAAGCATTGGATTACTTGGTGGGTGGACGCAAAATGAAAGTGCTTCCGGTCTCGCTGTCACTAGTGGCTAGGTGAGTTACAGCAATAGCGATAGCAATAGAAAAATAACAGCAACTATATGTAAATGGGACTGAGGATTGCTCCTTTGGGCATGATGTAAGTACACGGCACATTTAATTGCCTTGACTAGAGCGTGCGGCGTTTAATATGATTGCTGTAACTGCTCTGACTGCTGGTATGGTCAAGCAGTTTTGTAATTCCTGCTTAAATTGAATTGTGCACGAATTTGGTTCATTATTTTGTCTCAGTTTATGATGTCTACATGGCATAGATTGCAATTGTATCCTTGCGATAAGAAATCCACTTCAATTTTCTTTTTAATGCAGTAATTGAAAATGGGTAAAATATATGTAAAAGTTAAATCACAGTGTAGAGAATAAAAAAGTGTATTTTGAATTTGTAATCGACTACATTGTGGACTAAATAAAAATTAGTGAATAAATGGCAGTACCCTCCGGAAGAGTATTAATATTAATGTAATTGGAAATTGGCTGCGATTGATTATACAGATTTTCCGTTGCACGTCAAAATGCTTCGCTAATGAAAATTGTCTGTCGTCTAAGGAATAAATCAAAAATAAGCGCTTAATTTCACTTGATTTGGTAAAAGGTGACCGCGACTAACCGTCCGTATGCGTAATGTAAGATAAACTGTATAAAACTGCCAGCCAAGCAGTCGGCATCTGAATCAATGTTTGCCAGCGCAAACAAAATAATTTAATTTCAATTTTATGCAAATTTCCACTGCAGAGCATTTGAAGTGGATCTGACGCGAACGATAATAAATGCATATACATAATACATAATACAGTGGAGTGTCAGGGTCAAGTTTACGGTAGCTGATGATTATGCAGATAATGCTCTTTGATATGATTCTGGGAACTTACTGAACTTATTGTCGCTAAGTATCTGGCTCATGAATCAAATTCAACGGCTCGTTTTGATGTTACGTCGGACCACCGAGAACTAAGCCTGATTGAAGTTTCAACTTACGACAGCCACAAACTGAAATAATTTGCCAAATTACTTTTTTGTTTCGGCTCGACCTTGGGGTTGTCCCACGCTTATGGGCCATTCTATTTGACACGTTTGGTCAAGCACCTTTCGCACTGCCTTTGTCCTGGGCGTATTGTCATCGCGTTAATGACTGGAAAAAGCAAGTGAAGGGGCTACCATGCGAATGCTCCTCGTTGTGCTGTCCTGCTTTGGTCATTTGCGTCGGCGACAATTGTTTTGTCAGCCTTTTTTTGTTATCGTTCATTCTGTTTGTTGCCGTTTGCTTTCAGCAAAAAAAAACTCAGCCGACGTGCTTTGAATTAAAATTACATGGCAGCTTTTTTCTCACGTTCTTTTGAGTTATTCCATTATGTTTATTTTTGTCGTTATTTATTTCATGATTTTTTCAATTCATTTTGCAGCAGTAGGTACTGTGCCTGCATCTGCATACTTCGACGCCACTTGTTTTTAACTTTTAATGGTATTTTGGCTGCACAAACTTTTCTTTCGACATGGCTATGGCTTAGAGCAATGCATATGTTTTGAGTATAAATTTGAAATGATGATTGTTGTGGACATTAATCATCCAATTCAAATTATGATTATAAAATATATAACAAAAGATTTGTAAAGTTTTCCAAATGCCGCTGCTATGACAGACATTTTTGTGGACTGAACTTAAATGATTACAAGTTCAAGTATTTTATTACTTTTTATATATACTTTTCGGGCACCCCAAGGCATAATAATTAAATTTTAATTTTTTATTTAGAGCTTCGTTTTTTTTATTTTAAAGAAAGAAAGAAGTGATAAAAGAGAAACAAGTTTTTTTTCTCAATGTTTTATTGTTTTACAGCTTTGTTTCTGGCATTGCATTACTGGGCTACTCAACGGAGATTTATGTTTATGGTACTCAATACGCCTTCATCCTCATTACGCTGGCCATATCGGGACTTATATCGTGGTATATCTTCTTACCCGTTTTTTGCAATCTACAACTTACTTCTACATATGAGGTAAGCTGCACGTTCCTTAATCTATATTTATTATATGTGTATATTTGTTGTTTTGTCGTGTATACCATCATTTAAATTTCTCAAAAAACTTCCGTCGGGGTTCATTAAATTAATATTTATTAGAAGTGATTCTAGAGAAACTTGATTCTTAAAATTAACGTTTTGCATATGTGAATTTATTCATTTTAATTTGTAGAGCCAATCAGAACAAAAACAGGTTCATATGCTGTCAAGCAAGTAATTGATGAGTGTGCAAGGGTCATCAGTCTCGGCATCTGCGAATGTGGCATAATACATAACAATTGTTGCACAATTAAATTCATATTGATTTAGGTATTGTCACTAAATATAAATAGTGATTGATTTAGCATGGTAATGTGTAAGCAGAAATTCTGTTTATTCTCCAAATACAACGACATATTTAGAGCAGTTATGAAAAGTTTTTATTAAAGGTTTTTGGAATAAGTTCGGTAAATTAGCCAGCAATAGAATATAAGCTATCTATAGTTACAGTTAAATGGTAAGCCAAAGCATAGACATGAGCCAAACAAACATGTGTGTAAGTTATTTTCATACCCCCAAGCACGATTGCTAAGGAAAGTCCATGCATTGTTTATGTTATTAAGTGAAAAATTTATCGAGCGTTTCGCCAAAAATAGGAGTGCAAAGAGTTTAGCCTCTTGTTCGAATCCGAGCTGTATTGCTGGACTATGGTCAGTATTGTGGTAGAAGCTGTGGCTCATAAACTATCTTACATCTTCTACATGGCGTATGCGTAATTTTCGTTGTATGCGTTTTGTATGCGCAGCATTTCCGGGCAATCGTTCATTGTGTCTGTTAATCATATGTGCATTTGTGTTTTGTGACTGTGAGCATTGTTTATGTGAAAATCAAATGTAAAAAGCCAACAAGCAGAGAAAATCAAAACAAAACATATTTCTAGTACTTTGAGCTACGCTTCAGCAAAAGCACTCGTCTCGTGGCCTCGTGTCTCTTCACCATAACCACAGTAAGTTTGAAACAATTGAGCCGCAGTCCAGAATAATCAGCAATTACTATTCCATTTAGTTGATCTGGCTACCAATAGTCATCTATGTGCCAGCGTTGGCCTTTAATCAGGGTATGTTCTCAACCGAATCTTTTTGGATCACTTCTTGACTTGGCTACTTTGCAGTGACTGGCATTAATGTTCACATCATCACGCCTGCGGTGTGCATTGTTTGCATATTTTACACCACTGTTGGAGGCTTGAAGGCTGTTGTCTGGACGGATGTCATTCAAACCGTAATTATGGTTGGCGCCATATTCTTTGTCGTTATTAAGGGCACCATCGATGTGGGCGGCGTTAGTGTGGTCATAGAACGCAATATGGCAAGTGGACGTCTCGAGTGGCCCGAGTAAGTGACGCTTAATTTTTGCATTTATAATTTGAGACGCATATGTGCAGCTCAAGTTTCACTAAGGCTGCTAAACTTTCGCTCTCACCATGGATACAAAATTAGTTGTGAACATCAAAATATGCAAAATATAATATAATAATTGTTCGTTGCACAAAGAGTTTTTTATGCAAACATGAAACTTCAGATCTGGGATGTACTTAAATTATTTAAATTAACAAGTTTATTTATGACCGACACAAAGTTGCGCGTCTTGCTTACTCTTATCTCAAAGTCGAACTCTCCGATAGTGACAACTATCGATATTTACTAAAATTACAATGTAGCCTTAACATCAGATTTAACAGAGTTTTTTAAAGTAGCGATAAATTGACAAATTAACAGCTGATCATTCAATATCAGTTGTATTCAAATTAGTTTGACTAAACAATAATAATAAACGAATTTGTCGCAATCGGCATCGAGAGTTTTGCAGCATTTAATTATAATATAGCGCTTGCCAGTATTTATCCATATTTTTAAACAGATTTACATTCGATCCCAAGGTGCGCATGTCCGTCTTTGCATTGTTCATTGGTTATACGGGACATGCCACCTACAATGTGGGCTGTAATCAAATCATCACACAACGTTTGTTGTCGCTGCCCACCGTGAAGGACATGAAAAAGGCAACCGTGTTATTTGTTGTGGGTGTAATCCTTTTATCTGCCCTAACGTTTTATAATGGCGTGCTGCTCTTTGCCACATACTTCGACTGTGATCCGCTGACGACAAAGGTGAGTGTGTTTTATAGACTTTATTTTTAGACACATGAGACACTTTAAGTGACTGTATTATAGCTAGCCAAAGCAAAGGATCAGCTGGTGCCATTGCTTGTCATGGATACGATGAAGTCATTTCCCGGTATGACCGGCGTGTTTGTGGCTGGCGTGTTTAGTGCAGCGCTCAGCTCGCTATCTACAGCGCTCAATTCACTGGCCGCCGTTTTTCTCGAGGATTACATCAAGCCGCTAAGGAGCAAGCCTCTCACCGAGCGTCAAACGGCCATCACAATGCGCCTCTGCACGCTTATAATTGGTACTATGAGCGTCGGGCTCGTGTTCATCGTGGAGCGCATGGGAACACATGTGCTGCAGTTGTTCATGTCTCTCAGTTCTGTGACGCAGGGTCCACTGTTGGCACTCTTTGTGATGGGCATGCTGATGCCGCGGCTGAACTCAAAAGTTTGTATTGCCTTTTAGGTATCATTATTATAATTTTACTCTGAGCCATTAAATGGATATAATATGCTAACTAAATGTATCTAACAGGCAAAAACTATTATCTCTTATCAGCATATTTCTTAATGTTATCTTGACTGTATTTCTATTTTGACAAAAAAATTATTCAAGACATTGGCTTCCATAAAGGTATAGAATGAAAGTATTCCCTGTTTAAATTACCTTACCTTCATTGTTTTTGTTTTCGTTTTTGAGTTAATATGAATTAAACTGAGAACAGGGTACCTTTTAGTAAGGCATTTCCGATTAAATCCCCAATTTCTTTATGCAAATTTGTTATAAACATTGCTTGCTTTTCAGAGCGCGCTAGCCGGTGCCTTTTGCTCGTTTTTATTCATGACCTGGGTGTGCGTAAATGCGCAGTTGGCATTAAATTCCGGCGAATTGCACTTCGAGAGCAAACCAGTGAGCACAGAGGGCTGCGATTACGAATTCGAACGGCCACTGATAACGCCAGCGAATGCCACTTTCATTGCCACAGAGCCATCGTAAGAACTCTTAAAAATAAGTGAATTGTAACTAATATAATTTTCCATAGTCCACTCAGCTTTTTTCAACAAATCTATCATATTTCGTTTATGACCTACACACTCTTCTCGTCTCTCGTGGGTATCATTGTTGGCTATCTCTCGAGCTTCATATTCGGACGTCATGAGCTTAAGGATGTGGATGTTGAACTGCTTGCGCCATGCTTGCGACGTTTCTACAGAGGCAATTACGCCAGTGTGCAGCTCAAGGAGTCCGCATTAAAGTCTTGTCCTCCGAAATTAACTCAATAACTCAGCATGTTCTAACGACTTAAGAATTGTAATAAAAGTTTGCGATTAAGTATAAGCCGTGTTTGACTTTAACGTAATGCGTAATCACCAGACCAATTTGTAAATAAATATTTTTATTTTTTAGAACTGTAACTAACATTAATTGCTACTAAATACATTATAAAAATATGGTTCTCCATTTATAAATTATATTTATATAGTACTTAGTTTCCCGTTGAACTTACTGATAATATAAACTTTTATTAGTATTTCGAGCTCCGCTACGGTGCCAGAATACGCAACTTTGCATCGGTGATGTTTATTGTTGGCACGGCAAGTATTTAGCAATAAGATTGACATCCCTATTCGAGCTTAATGTAAACGTTATATGCAGATGGTCTGGCTGCCTGTTGTTCTGTATGTGCCTGCCATCGCCTACAATCAAGGTGAGTTTTGGCATAGCTTATGTAATAGAATCTATATAATAACAATTGCAGTTACCGGCACAAGCATCCACGTTATAGCGCCCATTGTCTGTTTAATCTGCACTTTCTACACTTGTGTGGTAAGATTCAATTAAGTTATGGCCCTGCTATCTCGCAGTACCCTCACACAACTCCCCACAATTTTAGGGCGGGCTGAAGGCGGTCATTTGGACTGATGTCATTCAGAGTTTCGTCATGTTTGGCTCTATTTTGGCTGTGTGCATTAAAGGAACCTACGATGTGGGTGGCCTGGGCGTGGTGCTACAGCGAAATCAAGAGAGCGGACGTCTCAATGCACCAGAGTAAGGACATTATTCCCACAATATTATGTAAGACTTTCAATAATCTGTTACTCTTTATAGATGGACCTGGGATCCAACCGTGCGTTTATCTATGCTGTCTGTTATTGTTGGCGGTACTCTACACAAAATACAATCCTCGGATGTGAATCAAGTGTCTATACAACGCTTTCTATCGCTGCCCAGCTATAAGCATGCCAAGCAATGCATTTTTATATATAATGTATTGCTGATATTTCTTCTGAGCTGCTGCTGTTATATGGGCCTTGTGATTTATGCTGCTTACCACGATTGTGATCCTATCAGCACCAAGGTAAGACCATTTAGAATCTATAACCTTCTTTGTGTCGAAGATAGCTGTTCTTTCGTTCATTCCTATATATTTTCTTCAGCGGGCGAAGGTAAGCGACCAGCTGCCCTTGTTGCTGATGATGCGCACTCTGGGCATGTTGCCTGGTCTGCCAGGACTTTTTGTGGCTGGCGTTTTTAGCGCCGCTTTGAGTTCGCTTTCCACAGGACTCAACTCAATGGCATGCGTTATCTCCCAGGATATGGTTCGTCCGTTGCTGAAGGAGCCACTAACGGGGCGTCAAACCGCTTTCCTTCTGCGCGGTATTGTTGTCGTCCTTGGTCTCTGCTGCATGGGAATGGTCAACGTTGTGGACAAGCTGGGCATGGTGGTGCAGTTGGCCACCACCACTGCAGCCGTATCTATGGGTCCGCTGCTGGGCATTTATGTGATGGGCGTCTGTGTGCCCTGGATTAATGGAAAAGTAGATTGTGGTTGGGTCATAAATATCATAACTTGACTGAGAGATTTTCAATTTTCAGAGTGCTCTGACTGGCAGCTTAGTTTCATTTGTTGTATTGGCTTGGATATGTATTAATGCACAGTTATTACAAATGCGCGGTGAGATTCGCTATCCAAAGAGGCCTGTATCTGTGTCAGGCTGTGACTTTGATTACGATAATGCCACTGTGTGGCGCACCGTGCACGAGTACAGGCAAGTATAAGAAACTTTATGAAAACTTCAAGCAAAACTGATTTCTATCCCATTCATTTTTATTTTTGTCAGTCCCTCGACGGAACGGAATGTGTATCATTTATCTTTCTTTTGGTATACAGCTCTGGGTTGCGCCATTTGTACTGTGGTTTCTTTGTTGGCCAGCTTAGTATTTGGCTGGCAGGATGTGTCTGAAATGGATCCAGCGTTAGTCACGCCTTGCATACGTCGCTTTTTGCCCAAGAAATATGAAGCCGTCGGTTTGGAGGAACTCTTCAGTCGTAAAGCTCAAGTCGATAATAAGACGGACACTGATTCTCCGGGGAAGGATAATGCTTAAGCTACAGCCATAAATAAAAACATGTGTTGTTTTCAAGAGTGGTCTTTTACTTTGTTACTGTCTAGATTGAGAAATGTTAATCATGTCGTTGGGTCGCTTCATATCCACATTTTCTTCTGTTAATTTGCTTCTTTGTCTGTTTATCGTGCGACACTTTAAAAATATACTTTGATTGACGCCTTCTCGTCCAATTTATTTGCGAGTTTTAAATACATTATTGTATTTCTGTGCAGCGGTGCAACTCTAGCATATTGAATCGAAAATTTAAATGTTTTTAAGATTCAATTTTTGTTTTAAATTCAAGTCAATACTTTTTACTGTGATTCAATCTGTTAACTACGCTGATGTTTATTCAATTATATCGTCTTATGTGTGACTGGCACGCGCAAAGGATCAAGTGAAACTTTTGTGTCTTGCAAAATACTGTCTTTGTCCATTTTTTGTTCTTTATTTTGTGTTTAACGCTGTATTCTCCACACTATCTGTTGTGGTTTTCAAGGACATAAAACGTCTATATTCTGCAAATCAGGGTAGTGAAACTTTCCTGGCCATCAGCATCACATCCTACATTGTTGTGCGCACTGGCTAAGAGTCCTAATAGTTTCTCGATGAATACGGTTTTTATTTCCACCGCATCGACCAACCTGGCGATTGGAATTCTAGAACTACATGTGTTATTGCTGTTGCTGTCGAGCTGTTGATAGACGTTGCGCTACAAATAATTATTACTGTTCCATCTTAATACTGTAGCAGGACACTAGTGTAGCACCGAGGCTGTAACATAACATCTGTAAATTAACATGCAACTATGTACTTAACATATTATATACATAGATATCGATCGACATCATTTGTGGGATCAGCAGCTCAATTGTTGTGAATAAAATAAAGTTTGCGGACGTGTTTTAATTATTTTGAATTACTTTAATATTATAAAAATTCAATTTGAAAAAGGATTATAATATTGTAATTGAGTGACAACCAACTATTGCTATCGATTATGTGTGAAAAAATAAATTATTTTAATAGTTTCTTTCGTCTACACACAATTAATAGCAATAGCATGCTGCCGTAAGGTATAATTTAAAGTCTCACCACGTCTTCTAAGCTGGGCATCGCCTTGCTAAGGCTACATGTTTTTCGCCTCAAAGACACTATATAGTTAAGTTGTCCCTGTGTGGATGCTGCCGAAGGACACTGACAGCGGCACCTTCGATGGGATCCGACTGTGGGTGTATGTGAACGCAACTTTTCCTCGTTGCTATAACTAGTGCTCGATGTGGATAATATGGAGAAATTATGCAGATCTGGCATGCTCACACTAGACACTCCCTTACGCGACCGCCTTATGATTTTTTGCCTGGGTGTGGATCGTTCAGGCCTTGGTAAGGATTTGTGGGTTTTGCAATTCTTGCAGATTGGCTGCTGCTGATGTTTCGTGTAATGATCCTGCTGTTGACACAGATGATGCTGTATGTTTTTTTGGGTTTGACTCTCTGATTGCTGTGGCGATTCGGACTCTTGATTACAATTCTGTGTTGATCGTTGCATACGTTCCGAATTAGTGGTCTTTTTCTGCTCTTCAACTTCCTCCGAGTCCCAATCATGCTGGTGTTTCAAGGGGCGCTCGTGAGTCAGCGCTTTGTAATAAATTGTCTGTGTATCGATGAGCATCTGAGCAGTGAACTTGAACTGATTGATGCTAGCCTCTTTTTGCTCAGCGATTTCTGGCAAGATTGGTGGAGAAAAGATATTAAAGTTTTAGAGCTGATTCTATGTTGCAAGTGACTTAAAAAACTAAAACGATATTTTTTTTAAACAATTTTAATGTATAACTTAGTTTGCATTTAAATTCGGTAAATGGTTTCCACTTACTGTCCATGATTTCTGAATTGTTTTGCTTTATAAGTGACTGCTGCTGCATAAGATTGGTAGAAAGCTGTTCTATCTTGGACAAGATCTCCTCATAATGCTTCTTCACCATGTGCTCCACATTCTCATATATAAGGTTAAAGAAGTCTGCGAAGGTTTCTTGGGTTTCACGATTCGAATCGAAGGCACTTGATGCCATATTACTTGGTGGACAAACTTTCTGTTGCTTGTGCTTTTGTTGCTGATTCTGTTTCTGGCGATGGTCTGACCTGACTGTAGCCAAGCCACCATTTTCCCTTAGTTGCATAGTATTCATCCTATGGTGCTGCTGCTCGACCGGAGACAAGCGAAACTCTACAGTGCGTGCCGGTGTTCCTGACTGGGACTTGAGGGAGTGTGATAGTTGCCGATTCTCGTTGTGATCTTGTAAGCCCTTCAGCGAAATGAGATCATTGTAGCACAGTTTTGTGTGATTCCGTGATCGGGAATTCGATTTTAGCTCAGAGGAAATGGTTGGATGGCCGCTTTTATTGTTGTCTCTTTTTGGCATGTACATTACGTCGTATTCACAGTCTGTGGGCGGCATTCTGAAGCAGTAGTTGGGAAACATTGCTTTGCAGGTAAATATTAAAGCTGAACATAAATTTATGCGACAGGTTCCAAAAATATAAAGTTTCAATTTGATTTTGAGATTGAGGCTTGAAAAAATCTATTTTCCTATAATTTATTTTTGAGCCGTTCTACGTGATTTATGTAAATTTGAAGGAAAACGATAAGATGTGTCCCAGATTATATAGGATTTCACTAATAAAGAAGCGGATAATAAGTTTACACACTTATTCAATTTAATTAAACTTGTTACTGACTTTAGGGTCTAATATTTTCAAGTACTAAATGCGAATGAAATGCTAGAGTCTCCTATAGTCAATTCTTAAATAGTCTATACAAAATGCAAAAAGTTTTCTTTTCTCTCTTCTGGACTCTGTCTGTCTAACAGCATTTCAATTAGAAGTTTCCAAGTAAATTATGCAAGTCTAATTGGAAATGTTTTACAAGCTGCCGCACTCCCTGACTTCATACCCCAAGTGGCAAGCCTAATGAAGCATTTTTGCCATGACATCGATTCTAAAAAAAGATAATGGAATGCATTTCACATGAGTTGACTTATGGTTTTTTGATTATGTCATCAGTCTTTATAGTTTATATAAGCTTTACATCTCAATCGTGAAGAAGGCGATGGCCGGGTCAGATTTAGTCGGATAATAAATATTTGCTATTAGTAAGCCCAAGTAAAATAAACTTTTTCTGTTTATCAAAACCAGAAGACAATTCTGAAATATGTTTTCATGCTTGTGTATTATTCCAGCTTGAGCTCAATTTATTGTGTTGCCTTTTGGCCTTTGACGTCGAAAGCCGCAGACATTACAACAGTTATAAATGAAGTGAGAATGAAAATTAGCTGTTCCATCATGTCTTGTCCCTGCCTATCCTATCGTCGTTGGTCCTTGCCGTTTCGTTCTTGAGCTCATTGTGCGCTGAAGCATTAAGACTTAAGAATGAAATTTGTGGCGCATACCAAAATGAATTAAAATATGAGGCGCAGATTTTTGGACAACTTTGGCCTTTATTCTTTTGCTTTCGCCCACTTTATACATATAATTATGAAATAAATATTAGCTTAAATAAAACTGACTAAAACGTTATGCTCTATTAATTCTTATATTTTCATTAAGTATATATAGATTTTGGTTTTGAATGGTTGGACAAGTTTTACACTCTTAAGTTATGCAAAGAATATTCATCTGTAGGTATGTATGTATGTATGTACAGTAGAAGATTGGTATATAATTAGTTGACAGATTAGAGATACAATTAAATAGGGAGTAAATAGTAGTATGTAAATACTTAGTTGGCTTAATAATTAGTTTGGGACTTGAAAGAAATTCAATTATTTGAATTTCGTTCAAATAAACAACATCAGTCTGGTAAATATAATACGTAATATAGAATATAATACCACTTTGCATTGGGCTAAAATGTAGATTGAAATAAATTAGGAAACAATGGTTGGGCCCTATTCATTGTGGTGTTAAAATAGTTGAAATTTATAGTACTAGAACCATTAGGCTAGTTACGAGCTAATGCATAAATACTTAAGATAAATTGCAATGGGAAATGCGTAGAATAACCACACACAAACACACCTATTAAAGATGTATGAATTCGCATACATAATCAATACACAACTATTGCACTTATTGTCTAAGCCTCGTGTAGCCTCCAGTAGCAAATGCTTTTCCTGGTATTTAACTATAGAAATTCAGCATCACTGAAGGATGTCGGCCCATGGACCGCAAACGTTGAACGTTTGCGTGTCGAATGCGCCAGCTATCATACTTCCGACATAGCCGGCACAGTGATAACCTTATTGGGCCGCTCGCAAATGACGACCCGTGCGTTTGCCTTGTTAGTGGAGCGACGTGATACAGTCAAGGAGGTGGTCAGTGTGCGCATCGAATCGCAACTGTTGTGCAGACGACGACCCACTGTGTGGCAGCGGTTTTGCTGCGAGTTGTTGCGATACGATTTGCAGCAGCAGGTGAACCACTTAAATGGCGGAAAGCGACTGTGGGTGAATGAGTCAGTTAGGTGTGTAGTTAGCGTTGTTAATTTTCGTGCTGCTTACCTGAGCGTGCGAAAGACCTGCGAGGAGAACAGACAGTAGATGAGTGGATTCGCAGCAGAGTTAAGGGGTGCCAGGCTCTGTATGAACGTGGCTATGGCAATGTTAGTCTGCGAGTGCGGTATCTGGCCAAAGACTTGCAGCAGATCAAAGATAATGTAGGGTGACCAGCAGATTATAAAAACAAACACAATGGTCAGCGTCATCTTGACCGTTTTGACCTTGGCGCGTGGTATGATTCCTCTAGAGCTTGCTCGCCGTGTTGCCGCAGCTCCAAAACCTGCACGTTCTAGGCAAAAGCGATTCATGAGAGATTGCGGATTCAGGGATTGATGAGTTCACCTACCTGTCGGCACAAATATGGAGCCCTTGGCCCATATGGTCTTCACAATAATCGCATAGCAGGCGGATATAATCAGAGCAGGCACCGCAAACAGCGTGGCCGACACGAGACACATATAAATCTGCCAGGCCATCGGTGAGCCCAGCTCAATCCAGCACTGTGGATGTCCCTGTATCAGTTTCTCCTCGTATAGCACCAGTATTGGCACGGAGAACAGCGCGGAGAGCACCCAGGCGCCAGCAACTAAGTGACGTGCACGTTTCCCTGAAAATGGCACAAAACACAACCAAGTAAGAATTTTACAGTCGGAGCTAACCGTCTGCACAATACTCTGTTCCCAATGAAATGTAAGTGGTGAAATCACACGGAAAATATATTGATTGATTGTCAGCTTAGTTACTCTGTAGAAAACATTTTATATCGGAAATATTGATGAAATGCCCTTTGATGAGGAGTGTGTCTTTAAAATTTGCTGCATGAAAATATCTAAAAATATCCCAGGGCAGGCAAACACTTACTCATAAAATTGGTTTGAAAAGATAATCAGCTTAACTAATCATGCACTTAAAAGTAAGCATTCTTCCGAAACATAGTATAACAAGAACAAGAACCCAAAAGCATTTTGCCTGTTACGTCAAGTGCCAAAGATTTTCTAATTGGAAAAGTTTTGCGACAGAGAACTTACACGACTTTGAGAAGTTCATGGGATGCGTTATTGCATCGTATCTGTCAATGCTCATGGCTACCAGCACATAGGTAGAGGAGTATGTGACGCAGACCTGCGAGAAACGGATGACCTTGCAGGCCAGATTTCCGGCACGCCACGAAATGGTGATGCGCCATATAATGTCCGTCAGTACATTGAGCAGTCCAACGCACAGATCTTAAAGATAGATGAAAAAGAAATCACACTCTTTGCCAAAAATATTTATTATTTATCCGCCTGTGAACTCACCTGCCAGCGCCAGCTGCTTTATGAAGTAGTTCATACGCGATTTGCGATTTTTGTTGATGAACATCACAAACAGAACCGCCGAATTGCCCAGCACAATGATGGTGAAGAGTATCCACAGCACAGCAAATTGTTCGGTCTATAAATAATAGAAAAGAAGAGAGAGATTTAGACTATGATTGTTTTGTACTTTTAACTAACCGACCATAAAATTCATTGTCAACAAAGTGTTAAAAGCGGAAATCACGCATAAAACTCAATTTAATATCACAGAGCAATTTCGAGCAGAAACACATTCACACACGCTCATAGGCAAACATACGTAAGACCACACACGCTCTTTTGTTTATGGCTCTTTAAAGATCCATAAAAATGATAGACACTAACTGAGGCGTGGCGAAGCAATGAGAGGCAGGACCTGTGTAGGCGTTTTGGGCCTAACAGGCAGGATGTGCTAGCGGAAGTTTAGTCTGTCTGAGCCAACAAGCCACAACAATAATAACAACAACGGCAATAACAGCACACATTGCCGTTGGTAACGATAGAAGGCAAACAGGCAAAATTGTTGCTATCATTGTATTGTGTTCTGAGACTCAGTGTGCAGTAGTCGGTGAGGTAATTAGGTTTGCTGTTTGACTGGAGCAGGAAATTGCAGCTGAAACGAAGTGCCACAAGTTACACAAATTAAAGCCAAGATGTACAGCAGCCATGCTATCTAATTTGATTGCAAGAAAGTGTTTTTATAGCTTTGCGCTGCTGATGCAGCAGCGAACATGACATGTTTTCAACTGGTATGTAAAGTTGCATAAACTTTCAAACATTTTTTGACTTTTATTGCTTTTGGTATTTTCATCAACACTTCTATATGTCTTAACACTTACTTTCAACCGGCTTTTATATTTAACATACAGCAAACTTGTCAGCTAAATTTTCCAAACAGTTGTTCATGTGGCTAAAAAATATTTTACTTTACATTTCACAAGCTGACATGCGAACTTCTTACCTTGGCGGCCAATTTAACTTTTGGTACTGAAGTGAACTTTAATGTGAAATTCTATTTTCGTATTCCATATATCACCTATAATTGCTCAAGGTACTATATTTGGGTGAAGGCTGATACACACAACATGAGCTAAAAGTAAACTTGCCACCAGAAACTTGACAGTTCTGACAGTTCTGACGGCTTCTTTTTTCTTTGCCTGTTGGCAAACTGAAGTCGTTCGAGTATATGCTATCTTTTTTTTCCTTAAATGTTGTTTATTATAGCTTTTTTTGTGCGGTTTGTGCCGTATACAGTATATGGGCGTATTTGGTAGACTGAGATTCCAAGACAAGCCGCGAGTCGCCTTCGCCTGTCTGGCAGGTTTGTTGGTAGTTGATTACGGTGCGCAAATTGCAGTATAAATCACCAAAGCACACAGTAAACGGTTATTTAGAATCATTTTTTTGTTATTTATACACAAGATAAATTTATATGTATGTGTTGACTCTTTTGGTCTTTAATTTCAACGTGGTCAGCTCTTGCTTAAAGTATAATCTTATTTTTAGCTCACGGAATTGACTTGTTGGTAGTTCTTATGAGTTTCCTTGTATATGATTTTAACATCAATGACTATACAATTTATTAAAGCCTTTGGCTTTGTGTCCTGAAGTGTTTATGCACGGTTTCATGCCCAGAAGTGTTTCTGCCTTTTGCTATAATTTTCTTGCATGACTTTGACAATTTTTGGCTTAAGCCGCAATACAAAATAAAATTCAGGCGAAAAGTTGTTTGGAACTTTGGCCATTGACGTTCGCCCTGCTCTTAACTTTTTTTTTATAGCCCATTTTTTTGGGTCATTTTTTTCACATTTTATTCACATTTTTTGTTAAGGGAAAATATTTGTACACTGTTAAGAGCTACGAATATTTGCGGTGAGTTTGCTGAAATATGTAGTAAAAATATACATTTGAATCTATTCCAGAGATATTTTTCTCTTTCATTTCGTCAGGTGAGTTGCATCATTTAAATTGAACGTATTTTTAAGCATATTCCTTTCTTGAATTTTTTTAAAGATAAACTTTTATGTATGTGGGCCCCAATAACAGTTATACCTATGATACGTAATTCTGCTTTATTAATCCATATAAGTCAATTTGTATACTTAATATATTTTTTTAAATTTTATTTTTTATCAAATTTGTAGCAGAAATTCTTTACTGAAACTCATTGGAAAATTTGTATTTAGTATTCTTTTACTTAAGTTTTTTTATATTCCAAGCTGCTGGCGTTGTAAAGTCGTAACAAATGGCACTTTTAAGCCTTTTTTAATGATCAGCCATTGCTGGTTGTGTGTTGCCCTTTTTATTTGTTGCTTTTTTTTTGTTCGGTATCAAGTCATTATGTCCTTTTCAATTTCGCTTTGCACCTCAAGGAAATTGCTTTTTTTTTTTTTGTTGAGAGCAATAAAAGTGCGAAATTTAATTTAATGCCAAAGGAGTTAAGGAAACGCTGCACAAAGGCCAAAAGCTTAGTCGTCTGCTGATAAGACCACAACAACATTCACAGTGTCCTCTTGGGCAACCGTAGATCCCTATTAAAATGCTATTTGGCAAGGGGCAACGCTTGCCACATTGCAGGCTGCAATGCCAACAAAAGCCACTTGCCACCTGTTGCGCAACGCAGAGCAACTTTCTCTGGAGCCGCAACTATTATGTCTGATTATTAAGTGCGCCAGCCATAACAATAGTAAGGCTCTTGATGCAGTGGCTGTTGTGGCATTGTGGCGCTCTTAAGTGCCACATAGCCCTCGAAATGGAGGCACTCTTCGTTCTCTGTCGTCTGTTCTGCTGGCCTTCACGGGACTTAAAATGCACTGTGGCTTAAAATCGCCAAGACAAATTTTCAGCAGCTGAAGATCGTAAAGTGCAGCAGCAAGACAAATGGGTGGCCACAAAACACTGGCAATGGCAAATTAATTTCATTCCACTGCAATGCCAATTACAAGAACAACAGCAAGGGATAAAACTCTGCAGTTGCAGCTGCTGCTGCTGCGCTTATAAATCAACAGCTGCAGCTCCCAAGTCCGCAAGGATTGCAAATAGCGTGGAAAAAGTAATATTTGCAGTTGACATACAAACAGCTAGCTAGGGATAACGGAGAATACGGCATTCAACTGGAAATTGAGTTGTATTAAATAACGTATAATTCTTTATTTTAAAAGCCAAGTGTAAGGTAACAAAAAGCTGAATCAAATTATATTTTTCTTAGTATTCTAATTAAAATAAGTTCTCTAGAATCTTTAAAACAAACGAAAAGAAACTTCAGAATTGCGTATTTTACCTTCTGTTTCCTTTTATATATTATTGCCAAAAACATTATTTTATTTTTTTTTGATTACGATAAGTTAATTAACAGACAAGACATTGTTTGAGATTCATATTTATAATAAAAAAATGAAATAGTCGCTTATACTATTAATTATCTGTATGTCCTACGTATTTCTTTTAAGCAATATTTTAATTTAATTTAAGTTCAATGTTCATTAAGTCAGGGAGAAGCTGTTTAAGAACTTTATCTTGCATAAAATAAATCAGTTTTGTAACTTGTGTTTGGGTACATCTCTACCTGTTTTCATTGAAATCTATGCAAGATGTGCTCCAAGTTTTACAAGCAATTTCCTTTTACATTTGCGGTGCTGTTTTGTTTGTTTATTTTTATTGCACTTTTCATTAATGCCGATTACATTGTGCTCAAGTGCTGAGTGCTGTAAGCGGGAAGTACCATGGTAGCATAAAGTGAAATTAAATGGAATATAACGCATACGCAGCATGCTAAGCTGGCGAGAATGGTCAGATAATAAGCAAAATGATGTCGTCGCCATAAAGGAGAAGTGGCAGCTTCTTGGCTTACAGCTAAGTTCAATGAACTCAACGCGTGCTGGGTGCTGAAAGCTGTTTAATATTTAAGCGTCCGCATATTGTCCACACATACACACACACACAGACACACACATACACTCAACCCAACACACTGAGGGGAGCACAAATACAAGATGAGACAGAAACGACAACGTTAAGTAGGTATAAAAACATGCATTTGGGTCAAGCCGTACGCATCAATCATGGTTTTAATGGTTGTTGTTTGGACAACAATGACCAGTCGTTGAGTTTTATGAACTATGCTACTAAAGCCAGTCCGCCAACCATATTTGTCGGAATGCGGGGAACTAGCCACAGGAGTGATGTTTGCCCCACTACCCGAAAAAGTGTGCTTTAATTCGACTAATGGGCAACATTTTGTCATCAGCTGGCTTAAATCATTTTATTTGGCTCACTGGCTGCGCATATTTCGCGTTGATGTTGACACAAATTGAAATTAATAAAGCGCTCCCCTCCATTTCCCCCATCTCTACTACCATGTCACATTAGCCCTGGGTGCGAGCTGGATGCTAGCTCTGTGTGTGTTTGTTGTGTTTGCTTACTTGACAAACTGTTGAGCGGCACTTTGACAGCAGAGTGTGTAACTAGCAACAGCAACAGCAACAGCAAATGACTTCAGTGTTTGGGGGGCGCATGAAAGAAATATGAAAAATGACCAAAATTTGGCTAACATCATTATGGTTAGTTTACTGGTCACGGCTGCTGATGTTGCTACTACGGAGTGTCTGGAATTCCGGCTAATAATAATGGCAAGCACGCCAAGTGCTGGTAAAAGAGCTACTAGACTGATTTAGGGCTGTTTTGTAAATTAATAAAATATGGAAATTTAAATGAGACAAAGAGAAAGAGAGAAATATTGACTGTTATCACGTCTGTGACATTGTATTCGGTACTCCAATTCGACTTCGATCGATATTATGATCAAACGGAAAGAAAATAATTAGTCTTAATTTTGCAATCGTTTGCAAGTCATTAAATAATCTAAGAGATATTATTTGTAAAATTGTACCATAATAAATTATGTACAATTTATTTACTGTATAAGGCTCTGAGCAGCTTGCCAGCTGACCCCAAAAATACGTCCATAAATTTAAAACGAAAAGTTACAATTTTACAGCAGTGACTTGTGAATTCCCCAGACCAACCGCAAGACATTAATCAAATGCGGCAAACATAAATCTAAGTAGCAAGCAAAAAGAAAAAATATAAGAATCAGAA